AAACCATATAAAACAGACTTCTCTCTGACGGCTTCTCCCAATAATATGTTGTGTCCAAAACAAAGTTTTGAGTGTTTTGGGTTTTTTTTTATTTGATTGTATCAAAAATTACCCTGTTCTTCTTAAGCTGTGATACCTGATAAAACCTGTTATCCCACCCAAGGCAAATGAATAGTCAGCTCTCAGATCACCTTCAGAGAAAGAGCTTCCCAAGTCAGATCTCCTTTTTTGTCATTGCATATCTTGGGCTTTCTTTGTAAAGCACTTATTTTATCTTTAATTTATTTGTTTCTCCTCCAGAATGTAGGTTCCTTAAGGGCAGAGACAATATCTTAGAAATTAATTCTTTTAAATATCTCTAATCAGTTTCAGCTCCCCTAGTCCCCACTCACCATGTCCCTGGAGCCCTAACCTGCTACATCAACCCCTCGCTCTCTCCTGGGTTGAGCTAGAAGCCACTGGGTGTGAAGTCCCTTCAGCTTTCACCCTGCCCACACCCTCGAAGGAGGTCAGCTTTTACCTCCTCTTTTCTTCTCATCTCAGCCACACCAGCTTTACACCTACATAAGGCAAGACAGGTGCACCTGAGCTCTGGCAGCCCCTCCCTCCTCCCTCCTCTTTTAAGGAGTGTCACCCGCCCTTCCGCCCTGTGTGTGAGCACTCTCTGTCTCAGAAACTTGCTCAAACTTCTCATGGTTTAAAACAAAGCCAGCAAGATCAAAACTTTTTCACTCTTCTGACCTTGTAGTCTTTGAGCATTATCCCCTTTAGAGCCAAGTTTTTGAAAGAATGTTTTACCCTTGCTATCTCCGTTGCATCTCTTATTTAGATCTTATCCCACCATAATCAGGCTTCTTCTCTCATTGTTCATAGCAAAGATTTATTACCAAATCCAGTGGACATGATCTATCTGTAGCAGCTGGGCTGGTTGAGGTTTCCTGCTTCCCACCCCACCCCGCCCGTTTGCCACCACAGTTTTTTTTTTTTAAATCCCTATACTCTCCTACTTTTCTTCCTACTTCTCTAGAAGCTCCTTTGTGGGCCTTTTCTCAGATACCCTTTATCCTAAATTGTGATGGTTATCAGAGACCCATCCTTAAACTACTTTCCTTTTCTCCTTATGCATTCTCCCTGAACAACCCACCTTTCTCAAATGTGCTTTATAGCTCCTGACTTTATGTGTGCAGCCCAGACTTTAGTACTCCAGCCCCTACTGCCTCCCATGTGTCTCCTCTAGGCCCCCCCACCCCCCGCACAGTCCATGCCCCAGCGTGAGCCATCACCTTCCCCATTGACTCCTTTCTTTACCCTCTCTCTCCTCTTCACCACCTCTATCCACTGAGACTGGTCACTGAGACTGGATTCTGCTGTCTCCATAGCTTTAAGATCTTGTCATCTCTTCAAGTTCATTGCCGCTGCCTTAGTGCTGGGCTCTCATTATCTTGTAACCTGGTGGATACACTAGCTACCAATCTCATCCCTCTCAAATTTATTGTCCTTGCTTTTGGGACAAACTCAAATCCAAGCATGGCTCTCTCTAACTAAGGTGCTTGGACATAGGACACTGTCCGGACCCTTTCAGTGTGGTGCAGGTGAGACTTTTTATGACCTGGCCCCTCCCCTTTCACCTGCATCTTCTCTTCCTCAGCTAGTTTGGTTACTTGTACTGGGTTCTTGCATATTTCCATGTCTTTGTCATGCTATTCCTAGTGCCTGGATAGTCTCCCTTCCTTTTCTCACTTTATCTTATTCTGCATAAATCTCTCGTGGCTGTGTTAGTCAGCTTTCCATTACTAAAACAAATACTTGAAACAATCGACTTACAAAGAGAGTGGACTTATTTTGGCTCATGGTTTTGGAGATGCCAGTCTGTGACTGACTAGGCTGGTTGCCTTCATGGGTAGTATACCCACAATGGCCAGAAAACCTCTCACTAGGCCATTAAAGTCTCTGACACCTCTCAATAATGCCACTCTGGGGAACAAGCCTTTAACATGTGGGCCTCTGAGTGACAATTAAGATCCAAACTATAACATTTCTGCCTCTGACCTCCAAAGGCTAAAGTCCATCTCACAATGTAAAAGGGATCCAGTCCATCTTCAAAAGTCCCCAAACTCTTAACCGTTTCAGCATTGCTCAAAAGTTCAAGTCCAAAGTCTCCCTTATGAATTAAGGCAAATTCTTACCTATAAAAACAAAATATTAAATTCATGTCCAGCATGTGGAGCACACTATGATCTTACTGACTGCAGCCCACCTGGCCTCTTGGGCAGGTTGCCTATGCTCCCTGTATCTTCCCTTGGCAGGCACTCCATGTTCCTGACATCTCTGTCTTTGGGGGTCTCCATTGCAGTTCCAGCTTCGTTCTCACAGCTCCACATATTGCCCTGCCAGGAGCTGCCTGCAGAGACTGTGTCCCTGCCACATGCCACCTGTCCTCCCAGGGTTTCCTTTGATATCTTGGTGGAAGCTCCATGATCCTATAACTCTTACAAGAATGCCTGCATACCTGCACACCCAGCCACATGGACAACCCCAAGGTCTGATGCCAATGCAAACTGTACCTGGAACCACTTGAATCAGGCTGTAGTGGCCTTGAAGTGCATTGCTGGCTTAGCCCTGAGTAAGCAGTGTACCCCTGATTTTTACAGAGGCTCATAGTTCACAGTTTATCTTGAGTCTTGGAGTGATCTTTTAGATTTGAACTTTCAAGCAATGTTGGAATAGTTAAGACTTGGGGACTCTTCTCAAAAGGATCTGCCTTAGTATGTCTATTTATTTTATTTATTCATTCACACTGATTCTCACTGTAAATATAGCTAAAAGCAGCCAGTAATAGCCATGCTACTGTCTGAGTGATTTGCTGCCTTTGAAATTTTCTCTCCTAGAGAAACTAGTTCATCACCTTTAAGCTCAGCTTCACACAGAGTCTCAAGGTATGGACAAAATGCATTCAAATTCTTTGCCTTGGTGTAACATAGGTGGTTTCTAGTCCAATTTTCAGTAAATCCTCATTTCTTTCTGAAACTTTAATAGCATGCACCATTACTTTCTACATTTATATAAGCATCTGCCTTCTGAGCCCTCACCAGAATTGCCTGTTTAGCTCTGTTTACAGCATTCTGTAAAGCTAGACTTTAGCTAGCACCTCCAAACTTTTCCAAATTTCTCCAAATTCAAAGGCTTCTTTCTATATGGTCTCAGGTATAGTCACAGAAGTCCACTTCTTGGTACCATTTTGTGTGTTTGTGTGTGTGTGTGTGTGTATTAGTCAGCTTTTTGCTACTTTAACAAATACTTGAGACAAAATCAACCTATAATGAATGAACATTTATTTTTGCTCACAGCTTTGGAGCTTTCAGTCCATGATTGTTCTACAAAAATCTTTCATAGTTTAGTTAATACTGAAGCCTTCCTGACCTAACCCTGCAAGGTTGTGACTCCCTCCTCTGTTCAGTGAGGAACTCGGGCAGGTGTCTGTTATGGAACCCATGATACTCTTATGGTGGTTTGCTTGACTCTCTTCTATACTGCAAATTATCTGAGTGTAGTGATACTTTATTCTTCTTTGTTATCCCCACTGCTAGAATAGTGGCTGGAATATAGAATATCTCTATAAATGCCCCCAGAATGAAAGAAACTGAGAAAAGTTTGGATAACTTAAAAGAAAGTCTTGGCTGGTGGGGTGGAACACACCTGTAATCCCAGCAATCCCAGAGGCTGAGGCAGGAGGATTGCAAGTTCAAGGCCAACCTGGGCAACTTAGTGAGACCCTGATTCAAAATTTTAAAGAATGTAACTCAGTGGTAGAACACCCCTGAATTCAATCCCCAGTACTGAGGGAAAAAATTTTCAAAGCACAAAGTGAGATTTTCTTTACTTGACCTGGGTGAAGCAACTCCGTTTGTCTTCTTTTTATTGTCCTATGCATAGCCTTCAAAGTCCGAATCAGAACTTCCAGTGAGGTGTCTGATCTTTCGTGAGAGGTGTATAAATGATAACTGTGTCCAGATGGTTATATTCATCGGGGTACCTCCCATATCCGTTGGGGTTTCAAACTAGAAGGCTTCTCTGGAACCTCTGGAGTTCTTGGTAATCACCATTCCATACCTGCTCTTGACAAGAAGGGGACCTTCTTTCTGTGGGATTTATTTGGGTCTGTCAGTTTTCCTTTGTGGCATGGGGTGCTACCTAGGGGCAGTGTTTTTAGGTAGGCATAGACAGATCCTGCTGGGTGATGAGGCATCCCCAGCATTTCAGTGATGCTGTGCAGATCAAGTGTTAATAGATCGCCTCACTCTTTTGCCAAAAATACAGCCCAGCAGCTCTCCTGACTTTGGCCTTCTATAGCAATGTGATTCTTCTTGCCGCGCTCATCCTTCAATGCTACAGTCTGAAGGACACCCACGTTTGTCCTTTGGCTTTGTCAGTCCTTTGTGTTTTAAGGGCAGGATTTTTAAAAGTTTAAGTCATCGACTTGAAAATGAGAAACTTTTGGAGACCACTTTGTTCTCTGGACTGTGCAACTTAAAGAGCATGTCAACACCACGTCCTCCTGATTTTTATGCAGCTCTTACCAATAAAATAGCTTCTTACTATATATCCACACAAAGTCCCTTGGAAATGGGAAGGAACTGGTGCTCCCTTTTTATATATGGATAGAGGTCTGGAAAGACCACGACAATCATGTGTGTTTTACATTCATAAAGCATAAAATGTTAACATACAGTCTAGATGAAGGTGATATGGGAACTCTATCCTAATTTTACAACATTTCTGTATAATCTGAAATTATGTCAAAATAAGAAATGAAATAAATATCCTGATTAAGCAGGGAATAGTAGTGATTGGTAAGAGAAACAAGTAGTGCCATTTTCTTTCTGGTTTTATTTGCTTTTCCATCTCTGAATGACGTCGCAGTCTCTGCTTGCAAATCCCCAAGCTACCCTTGTGAGGGCCTGCTGCTCGTGTTGAAGAGGTCCCCTTTCCTGTCTCCCCAGGCGCAGTGAACCTGCAGGCCGACCTCACTCGTGGCACACAACCAAATTTGGGGAAAACCAACCTGACACCAGCATGATGCAGATATCTCAGGGCACGATGGGCCCTCCTTGGCACCAAAGCTACCATTCCAGGTAAGTCACGACAGCTGAGACCAAGGGGTTCTTTCAGACATCATGCTCCCAGCATTTTCTGCTTTGAAATCACTTTGTCATATACACCTCGAATCCTCCTCCTTTTAAAACACCCATCATGTGTGCACGTCATCCTTATATCCTGGCTAGAAACATAAACGACTCCTCTGGATGGTCAGTTGAGGTATAAATATGACCCATCAACTCCCAGTCAGGTACTTCTCAATCGCCTGTTATAACAGTAGATCAAAAAACTTGAGACTCCTTCCCTCAGTGCTTCAGTGTCAGAATTGTATATTTTTTGATCTGAATGATTCTGCTCGTGCATTTGAACTCTCCACTTGGTTTTTCTCCCTCTGTTCAGATAATTAATCTATCTTAGCTCAACAACAGAAACAGCTAAGATCTGGAGGGCTGCTCAGTGCATGCCTGGACTCATGTCATCTTTTATACATATCTTCAAAGCAGATATAGTGTGGTTCACCCCACTTTACAGAATAGGAAATTGACGCTTGGAAAGGTTTATTAGTCCAAGGTAAAATGACTGATCAGTGCCTGCATTAAGATAGAACTGAGCCTGGTTCCAAAGTTTTTGCTTGTAACCACCAGTTTATACTTCTTTTGCTTCTCTAGTCACTGTTGTACCAGTTGGGGTTTGATCAGGAAAGAGCTGACTCGCCATGAGCATTACAGGAGAAGGGATTTATTCTAGAAATCAGATCTTATGTAATAGAGGGGAACTGGGGAGAAAGGAGTCAAACACAGTCACTCAGACACAGTAAAGAGAGAGCTAAGCCAGGACTACTTCACACAATGTGCTACAAATGCAAATTGGCATCTACCCTCCAGTCCCCGGGGAAGCAGATTCCACAGCATATCACTTGTGGGAAATGTTGGATAAGGTAGAGATGTGGAAAGGCCAAGAAAATAAGGATCATTTCAAGCCTCTGCGTAGACAGGAGATGCAAGTGCTGGTGTATAGGTGTTAGGGAGAGGGGGCACCGTGCAGCTTCTGGAAGCATGACTTAGCCAGTGGTGGCTGTATATCTGGTCAGGCCAAGACTCAGTCACAGTCCTTCATGCTCAAATCTGGTCAAGGAGCCAGTCCTAGACCTCTCTCTGATGGACACAGGCATCTCCCAGTGCATTTGGCTAAGCTTCAAACACAGAAGGAGATGGTCATTCCTGGTTACCCTCCTTGTTACATGGCCCTCCTAGTCACCCTGAAGGAATTTATTCTCACCATCTGAGCCTTCTTTCTCAGGGAGCAGGTCCCCTTGCAGGGCCTCTTCCCATGCCTGGAGATGTTGAGGGCCATCAGAAGGTAATGTGTGGGACCAAACAGTTTGAAGGAAGAGCAGCACAGTATAAGATCCTTGGGCTGTTAAATCAGACTTGGGCTTAAACCTTAACTTCACCACCTACCACATGAGCTTGAAGCAGATCGTTTGACCTCTTTGATCTTGGCTTCCTTTTCTGTAAAATGAAATATACCTATGTCACTTGATTGTTGTGAGGAGTACATAAAATAACATTACAGTTCCTGGCACATAGTAAACACTCAATAAATGACAACTAATTATAACAATCAGGCTGAAGACTTAGAGGCACAGTGAAACCTGGTAATGAATTTGAAGGTTAAGGGCATAAACCAGCATATGCTTATAAATGCAGGTGTATATTAGCAGAGTGCCCCTGAATGGTGAGATCCTTTGGAGCTTCCTAACCCCTAACCTTATCAGGAAGCACTAAGTCTGAAGTCATACCATGACCTAAAAATGTGCTGGCCTATGGCAGAAATAAGACTCCCGCTGTGAGTGCTTAGAATAACTGCTTACAGTAACAATGGTGAGCTCCAGCAGGCCTGGAGCTCCTGTGTCCCCCTCCCCCTCCCAGTCTCCAGAGGGGTTTATGAAGCCAGTCCCTCCTTACACCATCTATACTACTCTGCCCCTGTGAGCCAGGCTTCAAAGTATCTTCTTCCACACAGTGACAAGCACTGCGAGGTAGCAGAAGGGGAAGGATTACCCAGAATAATGCAGATGTGTGCATCCTCTTCTGCCCCCATGGATCGGTCACCCCATGCTTTAGCTTGTGGCTCTGACAGAGGGCTTCACCCTCCCCAGGGTCCCACTCCTGAGGTCTGAAACAAGCAGATGGAGAGGGGCTCCAGGTGTGTTGTTAAGGACCACAGTCGCATCTAGTGGTCTGGTGTGCCAAATCAATTGGTTGGTTTCCCTCTGACAGCCTTAATTTAGTTCCTCAAACCCAGTCTCGGGTCTGTTTATGGATCTGTTTTTCATTATGAAGCAGAAGTATGAGGGAGTAGGATGGTGGTGGAGGAGTGAAAGAGAGAAGTACAGACACACTAAGGACATCTAGTCTTTTTTTTTTGTGTGTGTGTATGTGTGTATATGGTTTTTTGTTGTTGTTGTTTGTTTGTTTGTTTGCAGTGCTGGTTCTGGTACCCAGACCCTCGCACATGCTAGGCAAGGGTTGTGCCACTGAATTACACCCCCAGCCCAAGACATCTAACTTTAAGTGAGTGTAAGCTGGATTGGATTTGGAATTTCTCCAAAACTTTCTTTCAGCTCTCTTCTACCAGATCCTTGTCACTGTCTATTTGTGCCCTATAGGAATCTTACACAGTGGTTCTAAACTACCAAAGTACATAAGAAGTGACCTTGAAGAGTCTTGTAGTTAAGTCTTTTGATAAGAGGCTAAAATAATACCAAAATACTAAAGTACCAGCACTTACTCAGTGACCCACTCTTTCAGTAAATATGAGTACTTGCATTGTCTCAGATGATTTCTAGGTATTGGGAGTGTAATGGAAAACAAGATATGAAACACCCCCATCTTACAATATTTATTTATTTTTCAAAGTCTGGCCCATGGGGTGATAATTTGTTAGAAACTCCATGGGGAAAAAGTATATAAGGTTAAATAAGTTTAGAAAACATTGCTTAGTCTTTTTTTCCTTTTAGAATAGCAGACGAGACAGGTGCTATAGCACATGCCAGTAATACCAGCTATTCAGGAGACTGAAGCAGAAGGATCACAAGTTTGAAGTCAGCCTGAGCAACATGGAGACCTTGTCTCAAAAAAAAAGAGAGAAAACAAAAGGCAGGTGAACAATAGTTTGTGAAAAGAGTCAGAAGTCTTGCAATAAATAAAATTGTTTAACTTATTTAGCCAGTGCTTTCCAAACAAATTTGATTATTTAAGGAACTTAATGTTCTGTAAGTATTCTTTAGGAAATGTTTCCATATGCTTGCTTTGTGCGCTTTAGAATGTTCTATTTATAAAATACTGTTGCACACGCAAAATAGTCATTTTATAAGAGTACGTGTATCTGCCGCAGAAATAACAAACATTTTCTTATGTGTGCTTCAGTTCTTTCAAGATTACCAATGGAATCAAAGTTTTTTTTTATATAACCAAAAGTACATCACGTAATTGCACATATTGCTAAGTGCAGTGAAGAAAATGAAGCAGAGAGGCCGGGGTTGTAGCTCCATGGTGGAGTGCTTGCCTTGCCTCACATGTGGGAGGCACTGGCTTCGATCCTGAGCACCACATAAAGATAAAGGGGTGTGTGTGTGTGTGTGTGTGTGTGTGTGTGTGTATATATATATATATAAATATATATATAAATAACAGGGCATAAGGAGAGCAGAGTTGATACTTAGTTCTGAGAAGTCTTCTCTGAAGCACAGACTGGAATGAAGGAAGGGAGTGAGCCAGGGCAGGGCATTCTAGGCGGCGGGAGCAGCAAGTGCAAGGCCCCCAGACCCTTTCACCTTCCCGTGGGTCTAGGTGACAGTCAGGAGGCCATTGTGGAGAAATTTTGTGATCAAGGCAAGAACTTTGACTCACTTGGGGTGCACTCCTCGTGAGTGTATGGCTGTCTTCGTGTTGGTCGGAACTACTGCAGGATTGAATACATCATTATAGATTGTTCTCATCCCCACTAAAAATGCCACCTCAGAAGCAGGGATGGTGAAGTTATCAAAATCAATAGCTCAAGACTGTGATAGAAGAACTTGTTCCCAGAGGGAAACATTGGGGCTCTAATTCCCAGGGACAGAATGTTCCCGGGTAGCAAGGAGAACACCTTACCAAGGTCTCCTGTGATGCTGTTTACCTGAGGTTTGCTACAGATAGGAACTCCCCAGACCCTCGCTCTGGCCTGACTAGAGATATGTGTAATGGTTGTCTCATATTTCCATACACCTTCTATGTTTTGCGGTCTGTTAGTGATGACATTTTCCCCACTCAGTAGTGTTCAGTCAACCATGATTTTAGTCACTTTGATTTGTCTGTGTTTCTAAGCTAGATTTGAATTATCCTTTCTGAAAAGTGAAAAAATGCTCTGCAGTTTGGAGGAGAATTAAGCAGTGTCTACGTACTACCTGCATAGATTTTTGGTGAGCAAAACAGCCCTTATGAGTTCTTTTATTTCCCCTGGAGGTATTCTCTCTGAATCTTCTGTTGGAGGAGAAGAAAGGAATCCTAGATAGGTCCCTGGAGCAATCTTCAACTGGGCAATCTCTTCCTTTTATAATAGAACTTCTTCATTTAGAGAGGAATTGGAAAAGAAGTGGGGGGGGGGATAAATTCTGGTGGTGGCATATGCTCTGTCATGCCATCGAGGGCAAGATCTGAGGTCCCTCTGTTAATTGACTTGAGAGCTGTTTTCTTCCTTACTACCTTGAATTTATTCTTGTCCTTCCCAAGGCAGGTGCTCTATTCAATAAATTGACTTTTTCTGATAGAGAAAACAGAGTGGCTTCAAATTTACAGTCCTCCTTCCTAGGCCTCCAGAGTCACTGGGATTACAGATGTGCAACCTTATGCTCACCTTGTAGTCTTCTTTTCATTGAATTTCATCACTAGCTTTGTCTTAGAATATGGTCCTTCTAGTCCCTTGACATATTCTCTGGAGACATTCTAACTATAAAACGTTATCATCCACTTGACCAGTAAGACATCAGATTTATTTGCATGATATCTTGAAATGTAATAGCTATATGAATTTTAATAGTGCTTAAATGCTTATTTATTTTAAAATGGGAAATCTTAAGCAAGAACTCTGATTTTCTTTCTTTAGAGAACAGAGAGACACAGACATTTGAAATACGGAGATTATTATTTGACTTTTGAACTGCTTATTCCTTCCATCATGTCCTCCCCATGCATACATAGATCTTATTCCCCTTCCCTTCCCTTCCCTTCTTTTCCTTGTTTCTTTTTAGTGTTAAATAATATTTCATCACCTAGATATGCTATAGTTCATCTGTTCAACCATTGCAGGGCATACTGGTCACTTTCAAGTCTTTAGCATCAAAGAAGTTTCTATAAACATCTACGCACATGTACATATGTATTAGTCAATTTTACATTACTCTAGTGAAATACCTGAGGCAGGCTACTTTATAAGGAAAAGAAATTTTTTAGTATAATTTCAGAGTTTCAGAGACGAAAATTCCAAGATTGGGCAGCCCCTTTGGTTCAACCTCTGGTGAGAGCCTGATGGCGGATGGGTGCAATGCAATGGGAGTACCTGTGGGAGGAAGAGACTGCCTCTTAAAACAGGAAGTAAGGGGTTGGGCTCACTCTTCTAACACACCTCCTCCACCACCACTAGAGCTTCCACTAAAGCTATCCTAGTCCCTTCCCAGGCCAGTTCTCCCAGTGATCTCAGAACCTCCCCTAAGGCCCCATGTCTTTAAAAAGTTCTGTACCATCTCCAAACAGCAACACCCTAGGGACAGACTTCCAATACACAGACCTTTGGAGAATAACCACATTCAAACCATAACAAAGTGTGATTGCTGGATGTAAGAGTATGTTTTAGTTTTGTAAGAAACAGCCAAACTGTCTTCCACAGTGGCTGTGGCATTTTTGCATTCCTACCAGCAATGAATGAGAGTTCCTGTTGCTCCATATCCTTGCCAGCGATTGGGGTCGTCAGTGTTCTGGATTGTGGCCATTCTACTGAGTGTATGGTTGATAGCCTATTGTTTCAATTTGCAGTTTCCTAAGGACAAATGGTGTGGAGTATCTTTTCTTATGCTTGTTTGCCATCCGTGTCTCTTCTTTGGTAAGGTGTCTATTAAGTCTTTGGCTAAGTTTTTGAAATCAGATGTTTGTTTTCATATTGTTAATTTTTAAGAGTTCTTTGTTGAAGTATATCTTAAGTTTATAATTTTTAAAACTACTCATGAGTAATTTTGTTTTGAGCAAACTGTGGAGTATGCAGTGCCAAGATTGAGAGTCTCTTCCCCTCTCCCCCAGCCAGGGTCTGAAACGCACCTGAAGAAGCCTGTAAATGTGAAGCTCCCACCCTCCTAAATGCACAGAGGTTTTTGCTCCAGATTTGGGAAGTCATTCATAGGTGATAGAATCCCAGCCCCAGGGGCCTCCTGTGATTCAGATTCCTTTTAAAGCTTTCTTCTCCTTTCCTCTCTCCCTCACTTTCTCATCAGCATTTTCTGACTCAAATTTTTCTATTTCTCTCATTCGGCTTTGTGTTTAGCTTTCTCACCACAAACAAATTGTCTCTAGTACAGTTGACATTCCAGGAAGATTGCCAGACTGCCTCTTTCAATTCCTTAAAAAGGAAAGATATTAACTAAAAACATACACATGTGCACACCAAGTCTCCCTTATCCGTCACATGCCTATTTTCTAACTAAGTTTTTCTCTTTCTTCCAACAAACAGCTCCCACAGATACAGAATTTCATTCTCTATCACTCTCCCTCCTCTTCCTCTCCTTTCTTTCCCACCTCTCCCATTTTTTGGCACTTACAGAATGTCATTTTCAGCATAGCAAGTTTCATCAGTTGTGCTGCCTGTGCTCAAAGGCCATATGCCTTCCTCTGTGCCCCTAGCAAGCCTGGGTGATTAATTAGAGGCACATAGGCTACAGAGTTGGACAGTCAGTCCTAGTGATGACACAGAAGGAAGCTGAGCAAGGCCCAAATATGGCCCTTTATACCCACCCTTCCAAAACCCAAACATCCTGCACAAGAGTATATTTATAAGCTGGGTCCTGTGCCTGAATGCTACTAAATGATAACTGCTTAATGGTACTGACTGCTTTCTTACCGTTTCTTCCAGCTCCTCTACAAGTGACCTCTCCAACTACGACCATGCTTATCTGAGGCGGAGCCCTGACCAATGCAGCTCCCAGGGGAGCATGGAGAGCCTGGAGCCCAGTGGGGGATACCCATCCTGCCATCTTCTTTCCCCTGCCAAGTCCACCAGCAGCATTGACCAGCTCAGCAATCTCCATAACAAGAGAGACTCAGCATATAGCTCCTTCTCTACCAGTTCTAGCATCCTAGAGTACCCACCCCCTGGCATCTCTGGCCGTGAGCGTTCAGGCTCCATGGATACTGCTTCTACTCGAGGTGGCCTCCTAGAAGGGATGAGGCAGGCGGACATTCGCTATGTCAAGACGGTCTATGATACCCGGAGGGGAGTCTCAGCAGAGTATGAGGTGAACTCTTCAGCCCTGCTTCTTCAAGGTAGGGAGGCCCAAGCATCTGCGAATGGTCAGGGCCATAATAAATGGCATAGTGTTCCTCGAGGCAAGGGAACGCCATCCCCGTCCTGGAACCAGCAGTGCCCCAGTTCCTTGGAGACTGCCACTGAAAACCTGCCCCATAAAGTGGGCGCACCCCTGCCCCCAACTCGAAGTGACAGTTATGCTGCCTTTCGGCACCGTGAGCGGCCCAGCTCCTGGTCTAGCCTTGATCAAAAACGGTTCTGCCAACCTCAGGCAAATGCTTCAGGCTCCCTGAAATCATTCATAGAGGAACCACTGCATACTGTACTAGAAAGGAGTCCAGAGAACAGCCCCCCAGTGAAGCCTAAGCATAATTATACCCAGAAGGCCCAACCTGGCCAACCGCTGCTGCCAACTGGCATCTACCCTGTACCTTCCCTGGAGCCACACTTTGCCCAGGTTCCCCAGCCTTCTGTGAGTAATAATGGCATGCTGTACCCTGTACTGGCGAAGGAGAGTGGATATACGGCTGCTCAGGGAGCTTGCAACCAGATGGATACCTTTGATGAGAACGGGAACCAAAATGGAGCTAGCAGGCCTGGGTTTGCCTTCTTTCAGCCCCTAGAACACGACTCACTGTCCCCAGTGGAGAGGAAATCAGAAACTACAGCCAAGTATGTCCCCTACAGAGTTCATTTTTCTTCAGTGCCTGAAAACGAGAAGGATTCCTGCCTGAAGAGACATGTCACACCTCCCCAAGGCAGCAGCCCACATCCCAATGAGAGAAGAAGCTCCCATGGCGACAAACCAAGTTCTAACCGCCACAGCCTCAAATCCCCTCAGGCTCAGGTTTGGCAAGTGGGTGAAGACAAGAAATCTTCCAGGCCCCCAGAGCCCTGGGAGGGCGATTTCCAGGAAGAAGACTATAATGCCAACCTCTGGCAGAAAGTAGAGAGAGACGGCTTAAGCCAGAACCTGTCAGGGAACTTTGGCAGGACCAAGACAGCCTTCTTATCCCTCCAGAACATTCCAGAGAGTCTAAGGAGGCAAAGCAGCCTGGAAGTAGGAGGGGGGCCCCAGGAGGGTTACCCTGGTGGCCATCCCACTTGTGGAGTTAACACTAAGGTGGAGGACCCCGGAAGGAAAGCTGTTCTTGACCACAGGGCCCACCTGGACAGGCCAATTTCCTACCCAAGGCCTGAAGGGAGAACCGGTACCTCAACCTCTTTCGCTAGTTCAGACCCAAGGTATGAAGAACCGGCCACCCCACCACACCAACAGACATCCAGTCTGGGCCGGAGGAGACTCAGCTCAGGAAGCACCTCCACCCTTCAGGGCTTTCAGTACAGGAAGCCCCATTGCTCTGTGTTGGAGAAGGTTTCCAAAATCGAGCAGCGAGAGCAAGAAAGCTACAGAACCCCGAATGTGGGCAGCCCCACGTGTGGTCCCAACTACAGGCCCACTAGGACAGTCCCAACCTCCAGTACTTCTGGGAATGATTTAGAGGAGACAAAAGCCAGCATGCGTTTCTCGGAGCCTGCTGAGCCTCTAGGCAATGGGGAGCAGCACTTCAAAAACGGGGAGCCTAAGTTGGAAGAGGTTTCCCGGCAGCCATGTGGTCAGCAGCTGAGGAGAACTGCGGAGGGCAGCAGTGGCCCCCTACTCCGAGGCAGTGAGCCCCTGAGGCCGGACACTCGCCTACTCCGGAGCCAGAGCACCTTTCAGCTCTGCAGCGAGGCCGAGAAAGAAGCTGTTTGGGCAGACGACAGACCCGGCACGCCTGAGTCGCCCCTACTGGATGCACCCTTCAGCCGCGCCTACAGAAACAGTATCAAGGACGCCCAGTCCCGCGTCCTGGGAGCCACCTCCTTCCGACGCCGGGACCTCGAGCTGGGTGCCCCTGCTGCCTCAAGGCCCTGGCGCCCGCGGCCTGCCTCGGCCCACGTGGGGCTGCGGAGCCCAGAGGCTCCCACGCCAGCCTCCACCTCCCCGCACACCCCACGGGAGCGGCATAGCATGACCCCGGCCGAGGGAGGCCCAGCCCTGCCCGCACCCCAAACGGCTCGCAGAGGGGCACGTCGGCGCCTGACGCCTGAGCAAAAGAAGCGCTCCTACTCGGAACCCGAGAAGATGAACGAGGTGGGGATCTCTGAAGACGCTGAGCCTGCGCCCTTGGGCCCACCGAGGAAGGGGCTGCATTTTCCGGAGAGCACTGTCGCCGACCGGCGCCGCGTCTTCGAGCGGGATGGCAAGGCCTGCTCCACGCTCTGCCTGTCGGGGCCGGAGCTGAAGCAGTTCCAGCAGAGCGCCCTGGCCGACTACATTCAGCGCAAGACTGGCAGGCGGCCCTCCGCCGCCGCCGCCTACGGGTCCGCTGAGCCCGGGCTGCGGGAGCGCGCCCAGAGTGCCTACCTAATGGCCAGCCCCTCGGCACCCGAAGGCCCCTGCCTGGCCGTGGCCTCCAGCCTGAGTTCCCTCCGGGAGACTAGCATGCAGCCCCGCAGGGAAGCCTCCCTTCTGCCTGCGGCCGCAGAGCGCCACCGAGGATCCAGAGACCGCAGCAGCTCCTTTGCAGGTGGCCGCCTCCTTGGGGAGCGGCGACATGGGGACCCCCAGACCCAGAGGGAGCTGCGCAATGGAGCTAACAGCGGACCAGGGGGCACCCAGAGGATGGACAAGACCTCTCGGGGGCCGTCTTCCTGGGGTGCAGTGGCTGGGAGCGCCGGGAAGTCCATGAAGTCCATGTCGGCAGAGGACCTGCTGGAGCGGTCAGATGTCCTATCTGTCCCTGTCCATGTGAGGTCCCGGTCGTCTCCCACGGCAGACAAAAAGCACCAGGTACGTGCAGCCATCAGTTATTGGCCTAGGATTGTCCCTTTGCCCCTGGAAAATTTAGTGGGGGTTCTCCTAGCCCCATTGCTCACACTTTGTTCAGTTTTCCTTTTAAATGCAGAAAAGTAGCATTTGTTTTCATGAGGGTTTTTTTCCCTCAGTGCCTTCACCTGGTTCCTTTATAGATTCTTATGGACAGATACATAGAGATATAGGTAGATATAGATAGCTATCTTATGGAGTTCTCTCTCTCTCTCTCTCTCTCTCTGTGTGTGTGTGTGTGTGTGTCTGTGTGTGTGTATATCCATATCCCTCATTTTAAGAAGTTGCCTACCTCTCAGTGCAAGAATACATGGTGAGGAAAAGTTAGGAATTATTTTTGTGTGTGTGTTTTGCTCTCATTCCTTGGTTTCATGGATAGAGACTATGAATATTTTGAAGTTTTTAACTTTGCACCTTCTGTGTTTCTTTTGCTAGAATTATTAACATTGATTGTTATTGGTTATTGAGTTCCTGGCCCACACCTAAGTATGTACCTGGCCTTTAGCTGTTTTTACACTTTACAGTTATTATCTCAATCCTCAAGATAATTCTCTGTAGTGTGTTGTCCATATCAAGCCTGAGTGTGTATGTGTCTCTCCCCCATCCCCCATCTGTGCTCTATCCTAATATGATTGAGAAATCAGACTTTCACAATCTCACATCAAAGCACTTTCTTAATAAAGGCTCCAAACTATGCAAAGATTATAAAGTGCTTTCCTCTGGAAATTTTAAGTATAGCTAGAACCAGAATCTGGGCACTCAGAAGAACCTGGCAAGAAGCCTGTTAATTTCCACAACGAATTCTTAGCCCATCTCAGGCAGTGCTTTCACCAGAGATCACATGGCTCCCTTCCCACCTAAGGTTGGGAATTCACACAGCCTGACACCTGCTCAGATATTGGGCAATTCAGGGCGTCTCCATAGCCAGCTTGGGATTTTTCTGAAACATGCAGCCTCCCATTTTCTGTCCTTTTGATTCCCCTTCATTTGAAGGGTATAATTGCAGAACAAATAGATATTAGTGATGGAGCTTAAATGCATATCAGACTCTTGCCTGTTTCCCCTTACTTTCTGTGAAAACTTTGGAAAACCTAACCTTTTTATAGTGGGTGGACCCTGCAAAACTGCAGAAAAATATCCAAAATTTCTGCTTCAGAGACAGAAATTTATACCTCTTCATTGCATATATTAAAATATAAACAATAAAAAGAAACCATTTAGAGAAATATGAATCCTGGTGGGAATTTGTTTCCAAGTGCAAAAGAGGAGTCTTTTCTGGTTCACACTGAATTTGGGAAGAACTTCACATTTACTGGAGATGGTGTGACAAACATTACTTAATTGCTGAGGAAATTGCTCAGTACATGGCACCACAATGTTGGATGTAGGTTTGATTCTGTGGGATGCAGCTGCTAAGTCCTTTTTAGCACCTCTCAAACTTAGCACATAAACTTAGGCATAATTAACAGAAGTGACTTTCAATAAAATGCAAAGTCACCAATAGCTAACAATGATCAAAATTTTACTATAGTTTTTTAAAAACTATACTGTTTTTAAAAAGTAGAATTAATTTTCACATCTATGTGATGAGGTACATAACTATTGTTATCTCTGCTATAAAAAAGGGAACCAAGGTCCAGAGAGGTACAAAATTTGCCCAAGGTAGTAGGGAACAATGTTTAGACCCCATACTGACTGACACCAGAGTCCTTAAGACACCATACTAGACTGTTTCCTTGAATAAAGAAAGGCAGAGGTGGGGAGAGGGAGGTTAGAGTTAAACTTAAGTCTTATATATGAAAATATCAGCTAATGAAAAGATTTCATTTTAACAATTATCAGTTACTATTGCTTACATTTAAATAAGATTTTCATATGGATTTTGAATTAATTTTAGTAGACACTTGGAACCAATAAGCTAAAGTAGACAAATATTGTCATCTTTATATTTTATCAGTCACAAAGACATTACAATGTCTTAACTTAAAACCTGAAAAAAGAGTAAGGATTGGGATTCAATAGACTTTAGGTTTAGTCTTAAGTGTGCTAAGAACTGGTGAATTTTAAATCAGTTTTGAGATAACAGAAATCAGATACTTAACAAGTTGATATAAATCTATGCCTGGTGTTTCTTCCATAACCACTGCTTTTCCTTATATTTTCCTAACATATTTGTAAGCTTCTTACCAGTTTACACAAAATCAAGTTGTCTTTGGCGGTGAACATATGCCCAATCAAAGCATGAAACATAGCAGGGAGATATCCTCCTTGAGTTTCTACTAGGTTGGGAAGGCATTTTCTTTCTGTCCAAGTGGTATTTTGATAAGAAGTTTAAGGAATTCTCCTGGTAGCCTGTTTCTGGATCTAACTTCCTTTATTTTATGCATAGCCACATAAATATCAATGTAAGCTTGACATTCCAGGGACCAAGTCGTATAAATACAGAAGTCATATACATTCTTATACTGGAATGCAAACAATATAATATAATATTAAAACATATTTAAACTTTATTGCATTAGGAGCTCAAATGGAGCAAAGTGAGTATATTCATGTCAACAAAGGGAAGAGTTGTGGTGAAAACTTTAAAAGCACCATAAGTTTTCATGGAGTGCAGGAATTCCCATTCCATATGATGATATTTGAGGGAGTCAGAACACATGGAATTCATTTTTCTCAAAACATTCAATTCTGATTGCATCCATCCCAGCCACCATTTAACCTCTTGAAATTTCACAGGAAGATCTTGGACTTGAATCCTTGCTTCTCCATTTATTTAACTAACTGTGGGCTACATACTTCTCTGAGCTGTAATTACACCCCTCTTCCCATTGTTATAAAGATTAAATTACAAAAGAAATGTCAAGTGCCCTGATATTCCAATCACATAATCAGTGGATTGCAAAGTAATTGGCAGAGAGTGCCAGAGAGTCTGAGACCCAGTATAGGGTAGCTACAATTATTAACATACCCAGGTGTTTTTACTGCTTCTACTTACTACCACTTTTGATTCTTTTTATTGCTTATTATTAGTACTTATACCACTGACCCAGGGGAAACAGTGAGAAAGAGAGTGAAAAAGCTCTTTGGACAGAGTAAATGTTAAAATTATTAAAATTTAGAGATTATATATGGACCTAATATTTTTAATACTTCAGTCCCTAGGGATTGAACCTAGGGACACTCTGTAACTGAACTACACCCCCAGCCCTTCTTATTTGAGACACAGTCTCACTAAGTTGCTAAGACTGACCTTGAATTTGCTATCCTCCTGCCTCCAAGTAGCTGGGATTACAAGAAAGCACCATTGCTCCCAGCTTAATTTTTTTTTTTTTACCAGTGTTTTATTATAACTGATTGAGAGTTGAATGTATCATCATCAATTGCAACATCATCAGCATCATGGACCAGTTCACATGGGACAGATTTTATACTATCAATTTTACACTTTATTGACCCTTCAGGACACCAGGATATAGTCTTAAGTATATATGTATATATGGGCCTGTCTATTCTTTTTTTTTTTTTTTTGGTTGGTCCTATCTACTCTTAAAAACTACCCTCTAAAATGTCTGAGTTAATGATATCACATGTGCATGCAATTTTTCTCAGAGAATTTACTGTAACCTGATTACAAACCAGATTCATATCATTTCTGACCATTATTTGGAATGTTTGAGATTTTTGCAAAATTCAGTTACTTATCCTTATCCCATATTTCCGTAAGATGCTTGGCCCATTGAATTCATTGTCACTATCATCATTATGTTTCCAGTATTTTAGTCATTTTGAACTCAGGAGGCAATTGTTATTGGATGTCTTTTACTTGGGAAGCATCCTTGTTGAGTGCTCCTGGTAAGACAGGCAAAATTTCAGATCCTGTCACTTTTGATGCAGTGGGATTAATAATACCTCCTGGAACTTTGAGAATTAAATGAGAAGGTATATAAGAGTGCTGTCATGGTGCCTGACAATGGTAGATCTCCAATAAGAAAGTTTTCCTTCTCCTTTCTACCTCTATTCCATTGGTAAATTTAAACATCTGTTTATTGGTGATAATCCCGTGCCTTTTCTGTGTTTCAAGGATGTTCTCCTGGGGGAAGACAGTGGCTTTGGTTTCGTGAAGGACCCATGTTACTTAGCTGGACCTGGATCTAGGTATGTATGTGTAACTATGATGCCCTTGCCTGTGAATACTGCTGGAGTTAAACTACTCCTTTCAATAAGAAATTGAATGTGGTGTTGTGATCTTGCCTAGTGTCATATGCTGCCTTTTCAATTTGTCTAGGCCATGGGGACTTTTTTACTTTGGGTTATAAATGACTTTTTCCTAAAAACAACACTTGTTAAAAGTGGGGTTTGAATGTGTGCTATTGAGGAAATATCTGACTTCTGACAGGTTTGGCATCAGAATGATTAATGGAGATGTTCCTCTCAAGCACCATGGCTCTCATTCATGGGGCCTCATCTGTGTGCAGAGGATCAGGTCTGGTGACTAAAGTGCTAAGGAAAGAATGGACAGTTCATGAAAAGCATCACAGAGCAGGACAAACTCACAGGAGGCACCTGAACTAATAAACTCAAAATCATCATCTTTAGATACAGAGATAGAAAGTAACAGGCAAGTCACTTAAAAACAATTTGCCTTCAAGATCATATCTCCTAGGTAGAAAAATAGGAACATAGTAGAAATTTCCAGAGATATTCCCTGAAGCACATCTTACGTATAGTTTTAGTGCAGCATTATAGAGCTGTATGCTACAATTACTACTACTAATAAAACCATTTCAACATTTTTCATGTTTTTTCATACCAGTTTCTTGATTTTTTTTAGTCCAGTCATTGTTTCTCTGTCCTCAATAACTCAATGCTGTCACACAGAAGCAGCCAGCATGACCGGGAAATGGGTATTGTTACCTACTTTAAAGCCAAGAGCAGCATTCCCTGGTATATGCCTTTGCTTTGGTAGCTATGTTGAAAGGGAGGAAGGAATTCAAGGTGAGGTTGAGTTGAGGCTTTTGATTAGTTTGGTGCATTAATTAAAAGCTGGATACAAGAAAACTAACAGGGAATTAGAGCACTGCTAAAAGAGACTGGTTTGAAGTCAAAGGTGGGACTAAACAACAAAAAATCAAGTAACCCACCAAGCATGGTGGCACACACTTGTAATCCCAGCAGCTCAGGAAGTTGAGACAGGGGGATCGCGGGTTCAAAGCCAGCCTCAGCAAGGCTCTAAGCAACTTTGTGAGACCCTGCCTCAAAATAAAAATAAAAAGGGCTGGGGATGTGGCTCAGTGGCAAAGTGCCATGGGTTCAATTTTTGGTCCAAAAAAATAAAAATAAAAAAATAAAGTAACCCTATTTAAAAGTGGGCAGAGGACTTGAATAGACACTTCTCCAAAGATGTTACATAAATGGCCAACAAGCATATAAAAAGATGCTCAACATCACTAATCATCCTAGAAATGCAAATCAGAACCATGAGCTATCACCTCACACCCATTAGGATGGCTACTATATTAAAAAAAAAAGTGTTGGCAAGGTTGTAGAGAAATTAGAATCCTAGCACACTGTTCATGCATCATTTTACATTAGTGCAACAGTATGGAAAACATCATGGAGGTTCCTGGAAAAATTAAAAATATAATTACCACATAATTCAATAATGCCCCTCCTGGGTATATGTCCAAAAGATTAAAAGCGGGGTCTCAGAGAGATACTTGCACAACCACGGTTTGTAGCAGCTTTCTTCACTATTCTTAGTAGAAACAACTTAATCATCCATGGATGGGTGGATTTATAAACAAAATATGGTAAACACAGACATTAAAGTATTATTCAGTCTCAGGAAGGAAATTCTGTCGAATGCTACAGCATGGCTGAACCTCGAAGATGCTATACAAAGTGAAATAAGCCAGTCATAGAAACACAGAAACAGAATACAGAACAATGATTACTGGGGGCAGGAGGAAGGGAAGAATGGGAAGTTGTTAATTGGTATAGTTTCAGATTTGAAAGATATAAAAATTCTGGAGATATGATTTACAACAATGTGAACTTTTTTTTTTCCTTTACACATGGCAGGCAAGCACTCTACCACTTATACCCTCAGCTCATGAACATATTTAACACTACTGAACTGTATACTTAAAAATGCCAAAGTTGAAAATTTATATTGTAGTTTTTAAAAAAAATATTTTTTAATGTGAAAATCTTGCTCTCAAAATTCATTCTTGAATATTAGGATTCATGGATATGGATCAAAAGATTTTATCTAAGCCCCTTCACACCTGATGATAAAAGGGACTTGGGCAAAATCTTTTTTTTAACCATAGAATTTGTCCCTGAGAAAAAAAAAGCAATTATCATGAAGAATCGTGGTAACTATTATCTTCAAAAACACAACTATAATCTGGGCACAATGGCACACACCTGTAATCCCAACTATTTAGGAGAGTGAGGCAAAAGGATCGCAATCTGGTAGGCCAGGCTTGGCAATTTAGTGAGACCCTACCTCAAAATAAAAAAGTAAAAAGTGCTGGGAGTGTAGCTCAATAGTACTGAGGCCCAGGGTTCAGTCCTTAATACCATAAAAATAAACAAATAAAATATATAACTTTTGTGAACCAGAGTTAACACAAACTAAGCTCAAACATAAACTGAAAGCAAAGTTCATTAGATAGGACCTTTAAAGGATAATGTCATGTGAAGAGCAGAATAGCTCATCTTAGGTGTGGAGGGGTTCCTGATAAACTATCTTCTTGAAGGGGTCTGTGATGGAAAGGGGGGCTTGCATCTGAGAGAGAGATGGACTCTTTATTCAACCATCTGCATCTATAACAAAGAAAAAGGCTTGAGAAGAGCTAATTTGGTCTTTGCGGTCTTTCCCTTCCATATGCTGCATTATCCTCGCCTGACACGTGGTTTTGTGGCAGACCCCGTACCACTGCTCTGATGTGGTCTGATATGGGACCGAGGCACTGCTCCTCATAGGAGTCAAATCTGTGAAATGAAAAGTGCCATCTGCTCTCCAGATTTCCTTGCAGAGCCAGTCAGGGAAATACAGATATGGAATTCACAAACGATGGATGTGCTGGAGCTTGCTTTCTTATCCTCACAGTAACTTTTGCCTCACAGGCAGGCAGTGCTGCAGACTCCATTTTGTCTCTTCCTTCATACACAGTAACGAATGTATCTGGAATTGTTGGGTTTTCTCTGGCAGCTAGAATCTTGGGCTCAGTATGGGGTAGAATCTTGGGCTCAGTATTCAGAGCTGTAACCCTCGTGTTTACCCCGTTGCAGATCACTCAGTTATTCAGAAAGTTTAAATCACCATGCACCATGCTTGCTTATTATGTCAGTCTTTGTTTCCAGAGGTAATGCTTAGTAGCTCCTTAGGTGAGGCTCTCCTCTCCTTTTTATTTTTCATCTTAGGAAATGAAAACACTAGGAGATTCAGGGGCAGTTATAAATAAAACCTTCAAGTCCAGCAGCCCGTGCAGGTGCTCTCCAGGCAGACCTCTTCCTTGGGGTCCTCCTGGGAGAGAATGAGGCAGCAACCTTTTTCCCCCGGCTCCAGCAGCTGTTTCTCAAAGTAGTCCTAAAAGGAGCTGAAGAAGTGTACCACGTATTTCCCTTGATGTCCTGCAGCCTGTGCTCCAAGGCCACCTTGTGTGTGTATGTGTGCAGGCAGCGGGGCGAATTAACAGGAGATGCCATGAACACAGGCTGTTCCACACGTGTTCCTGTTGGGGCTTATGCCTGTCTGATACTTCAGCCTGGTTCTGTTTACAAGCAGCCACAGGAAGAAGTATGCAGCTTCTTATTGGGGGGTGGGGGGGAGTTCTTCCCATCAAATGTATTTCTTGTCTGTATAACGAATCTTGGGCTCAGTATTCAGAGCTGTAACCCTCGTGTTTACCCCGTTGCAGATCACTCAGTTATTCAGAAAGAGGCCGAGAAGAGATGCCATTGTCAATTCACCATCCTACCGCTCGTTGGGGTGGCTCAGGCTGCAAAGCAACTGGTGGTTCCTCAATTGCTAATGAGTGTCCTGGAGCCCTGGACCATCCAAGGCAAGCCAGCAGAATGTCTTGCCCCAGGCCACTACCAGTAGGAACACAAGGGCATCTCATAGATGCCAGCCCTTCAGCCCTGAGCCCGCTCAGCTCCCCTCTGCCTCCATCCATTCCCTCTAGCTGCTGCTCACAGCTTGCCACTGATCAGCAGACTGCAAGGGATGGGCAGGCAGGTCGACAGCCTGTTTCTCCCTATGTCCCTGTGGTCACCCACAGAAGCAATGGTCACACCCTGACCCAGCCTTCCAGTCCAAGAAGCTGTGAGTTCAACATCCCAGAACATGGGGTAGAAGAGGGAGCATGGAAGAGAGTCTCCCTGCCTCAGCGGCCACCACCTTCCCGAGTAAAATGGGTCCACACGGTCAGAGAGGACAGCCTTCCTGAGGAAGCCTCCTCGCCTGAGTTTGCAAACCTGAAGCACTATAAAAAGCAGCCTAGTCTTTCAAGTTCATGCAGCACTTCTGACCCAGACACTCCAGGGAGGATCTCTCTCCGAATATCCGAGTCTGTCCTTCAGGCCTCCCCACCACCTCGGGAAGACTATGATGACGAAGTGTTTGTGAAGGACTTGCGCCCCACAGCCACCTCTAGCCCTACATCTGAAGCTCTTCCCCCACCCCCACCCCCTCCACCGAGCCAGGAAACCCCAGTGAAATGCTCGGATGACTTCCCCCCACCTCCTCCCCAAGCTGTGCATGAGGCGGCGCTGGACAGCGAGGCTCAAGAGGGTTCCAGCAGCAGGTGAGAGTGGCCTCTGGGTAAGGCAAGCCTTTGGCTGAGGAGGAAGAGGGTTTCCTTCATTAATAGAAGATTCTCATGTCCAGGTTTTGCAGATCCTTCTGTTGGCCTCAGGAGCACCCTGGGATGGAGATATTTTCATACAAACTCAGCTTATGAGTTGGCAGAACTGCCTTATTTGTTGTCCTTGGGTGGTAGTTATGCTCTTGTTTATTGGATACCAAGGGATGAGTAGTGAAAATGAAAGCCAAAACCCAGGGGGCACATTTCACTTCCATGAGTGTAATAGGTTGAAGGGGTCTAAATAAAGCCCATTCCCCTTCCCTGGCTGAGTTCTGAGTCAGTTAAATAAGACAAATTAGGAAGGTGTATAGAAGGCAAAATACCACTTTTTTTTTTTTTAACGGATAGATGAACATTGAACAGTATGGCTTCTGTCTGAATGTAAGGGTGTCTTCTGATACTGAACCCCCAAACTAAGCAGGCTTACTTTCCATGCTTAGACACACACACAGTGTGGAGGCAGCTGCTCTGTCCAGAGGTAACCCATGTCCACAGAAAGGAATAAAAAATAGAGCTAAGCTGGGTACGGTGGCACACACCTCTGATTGCAGCACTCTGGAGGCTGAGGCAAGAGGATCCTAAGTTCAAGGCCAGCCTCAGCAACTTAGCAAGACCCTTAGGAGATGTGGCTCAGCGGTTAAACATCCCTTGGGTTCAACCCCTCCTGGTACCAAAAATAAAAACAAAAAGAATAGAACTAAAGGTCAGTGATGCTGAGGTAAAACCTCCTCTTGCCCCAGGCCACTACCAATAGGAACACAAGGGCATCTCACAGATGCCAGTCCTTCAGCCCTGACCCCGCTCAGCTCCCCTCTGCCTTCATGCATTCCCTCTAGCTGCTGCTCACTCACTGCCAGAGCAGGGAAGGAGCATTCCCAATACATAGGCCCTAAGACAAGCGATCTCTCAGAATCCCCAAATACAAAACGAGGGTAGCATCCTCTGAACACCACAGAAATGACTTACTACCACTATCTCCTCTTCACCTCAGCCTTTTAGAAAGCTCTGGAATATAATAGCAACATTGCCCAACATTGAATTCTTACTGAATCCGTCTCCCTCAGGAGATGACAGCCTTTCTGGAACCTACTGCTGTACTTGGGAGAAGGTCCTTTAGAACCCCATGGTTTGGGGGAGGATAACCTCAGAAAAGTGACGCTTCACCCCACTCCTAATATGGGAAGCTGCAGCCCTGAGGCAGAAAGCCTCTCCCTCGCTCTTCCTCCACACTCTGTTGACTCTTCTCTTGCCATTCTCCCCCCCCCCCCCGCCCGTATACTTACAGCGACAGCAAATTTTCCAAGGTGACAACTGCAAGGGAAAGACACATGCCTGATGCACTCCCTCTGGTAGGTGGTCAGATCCTGGCTTCCAGACCCCAGACTTCTGTCAGAGGCTCAGAGACCAACAAGTCCAACCCTCCCTCCTTCATGAGTCTTCAGCCTCAACTTGCTGGATCTCTTGGAAAGCAGCCAAGCCCGGGGCAGCCACCTCCCAGCCGAACCCAAAGCCTCATGCATGAACCAGTCAGTGTAACTCAGGGTTTAGAAAAGAAAGGCAGTTCTGATCCTCAGAAGACCTCAGAAGACATCAGAACTGAGGCTCTGGCCAAGGAAATTATCCACCAAGACAAATCTCTGGCAGACATTTTGGATCCAGACTCCAGAATGAAGACAACTATGGACCTGATGGAAGGTTTATTTCCCCGAGATGTTAACTTGCTGAAGGAAAACAGCATAAAGAGGAAGGTCATGCAGAGAGCTGTCACCTGCCCAGGACATGAAGGCAAGAGGTAAGTCCCTGGAAATGGCCTAGAGAAACAATTAATCTCCTATTGTGGGGTGATTAGTCTAGGGATGCTTACCTGATGTTTCCTACTTCCATACATCCCTAACACATCCCATCTCAGATCCCTGATGTTCCATCTCAGCCTGGGGATTCAGATGTGGGACAGAGGCCCAACAACAACACAAATGATAGCAATAGTAATAACAGTCGTCATTAATACCCCTGTATCAAGCATTGCATCAATTTCTTTATTTAAGCATTATCTCATTTAATCTTCATAAGAACTTTCCGAAATAAAACCTGCCAGTTTTATTTCTGATTCAAAAATGAGGAAACCGAAGCTCAGAGGAATTAAGGCCATTCTCCACTAAGGCATAGACTATGTGAGGGATGATCCCTGGACTTGAACTCAGCCCTTAGCATTGACCCAGTGCCCTTAACTCAGAGAATGCGCAGGTGCCCATTCTCTCTCAGAGTTGTTCTTGCAGAGAGGCCTCTGGGACTCGGTTCTGAGAAAGAAGCAAGTACAAGTATGGGCATGGCTGAGGCCACCCGAGGCTGAGGTTGAACGTGGTCTTTCTAAAAAGCACGTGAGCCTAGAGAAATAGATCCATTTACTACACTAAACATTCCCCTTTGAGGCATTAGGGTGAGTATTTGCTCAAATCCTGAAAATCAAGAAAGGTCCACATAGGGCTCACTCTTCTGAATTTGCTTAGCCCCTTAGCCTCTGCTCCTACATCTCCCTGAGGCACATTTTGACTGGTCTGGCATGTCTCCCTGCCACAGTGAAAGAACACTCTGTGTTTCTTTTTCTTTTGATTTCTCCTGGATATTTTCTTGCATGTGTGATTTCCTTAAAGGACTACAATGAGAATGATTTAGAGTGGTTTTTATTTTCTTTTTAATTTTCAGTGAAAACTATGTGGATCAACAGACTGAGACTCAGCATTTAGCAGTTTCTAGACTAAATAAAAACAGACATTTCATCCCAATTTGGACTTGAATTTTAGAAATTTATAGCTGATCCTAACTAACTTACTAATGGGAACGCCATGTTTTATTTTTTAGGGGAGGGAGAGAGGAAAGAGCTATGTAGTACTTACAAGCTGTTTTGTTATCAAAGGCTCTCCTGATTCAAGATCTTATGGTCACTTGGCCCAACCTCTTCTTTTTGATACGTGGGTACAGAGACTAAGGTGAGGTGGTTTACCCAGGCTCCTGTGTTCAGCAGACATTACTGAGCACTTGCAACAGGGCAATCCACTGGATGCTGGGGGGCCCCAAAGATGAATTTTTGGTGGCTGTGCCAATCAGTTCATCACATGTGGTTATACTCGGTTCATTCTGTTAATTTGATCACTCACTGTAAAAAAAAGACCAAAGTAATTTAGAAATACATCCTTAGAAAAGTATTGCCATCACAAACATGTGTCTATTTAAAAGTGAAATGGTCTTCAAGCATTTGCAGCCCTGAGATGCTCTGGAGATGTCAAAAGGATGGCAGACGCCATCTTCTGGTGAAAATGAGCATTGTCCTGTTGTGAGTTTTAATCAGATTCCTGAGAAGCCCACATGTGACAGACACAATGGATTCTCTCATAAAAGTTTAAAACAAATATTGTCGAAGACCTTTTTCTTATTTTTTAACCAACTGGATTAAATGTAGATGTGTTGCTCAGAGGGTAATCATCAAGCAGGAAACCAGTAAGTATTAGTTATTTTTGTGGTTCTTTATTCCATAGTAGAATGATGCTATTGTGAAATGAAGTAATGAAAATTCCTCTCCAAGAGAACCTAACTTAGAGTCATTTATTAGGTGGGTAGGATCTGAACTCTTGAAAGGCAACCTGATTACAACAAAAGATGATACATTAGAAATCAGGTCTGTCAGTTCCTAGTTTTTCCTACAACCTTCAAGGACTTCCCCAAACCTGCCCCATTGCATAATTAATGAGTAGATTTTACATTCTATATTATTTCTCTGGGGATTGATAAGCTCTGGATTTCCCAGGCTCACCTGGGGTATCAGACTGAAGAGGAAAACTTTTAAGTGTCTAAGCAACAGTACAGTGGGTATCAGAAAGGTTATAGGTAACAAAAGAAAAGTAGGAGATAACTAACCTAAAACCTAGGACTTATGCAGCATCTTGAAAATTATTCCATAGCAGTTAAGCCATGGCTGTGCATTGTCTTTCTATGAAGCAGGCAACATTTTTCCTATATTTATTATAAAAGGAGAAACGTACAAATGCCGCAGTCTGGCTGGGCACAAATGCACGAGCCACCACACAGCTTGTAGATTCAAACAGCAACTCTTTATTCCCGAATTCACACCAGCCGTCTACAATCACGTTCTGGGGAAATCCACGTTCTCTGCCCAAATCCACCCCCTCTGGGCTTCTGTCTCCCCAAAAATACTGTCTGAATCCCGTGAGAACTCAAGGGGAACTCAGGCAACAGGATACGCCCTATTCCCAGCAGGAATAACCTTAAACCTTAAACCTGGAACCTAAACCGGGAACGCCCTAAACTGGGATCCGCCTTGGTCCTTGAGCAAGGTCACCTTAGATGCAATGTCACTGCAAAATGTCCTATTTCCACGAGTCCTTCCACTAAGCAACATGGGATACGCTGGCAAGGAAATTGTCATACCTACTTGGCTAATGGCTCCCAGCATACAAAGAGGTAAAATGACTTGCCAGAGGGTTCTGGCAAGGCCACAGTCCTGACTTCCACTCCATCCCCAGTATGGCCTTCCATGGTTTTTCCATTCTGGATTTGCCTGGCTTCATGCATTTATAAAAACTACTAATTTATCCTGATCTCCAGGGAAGAAACCAAATAGAACTTTTTACATATTTATGAATAGACAGACCATTTTTGGTGATGAAGTTTGTGCTAAGTGCAGCTGTACTTTGTGTTCTTTATGGTCCAGGAGTGAAGACAAGGAAATGGTGGGCACATTGGTCAACTGCTCTGCCTACTACAGTGTGTCTGCTGCCAAGGCTGAGCTTCTGAACAAAATCAAAGATATGCCAGAGGAGGTGGCTGAGGAAGAGGAGCAGATGGATATCAATGAAAAAAAGGTAAATAAAGAATGAGGTTACCCTTGTTCTTCTTCCCCAGAAAGATTGTCAAGGTCCTTATAATTAGCAGGGCTACTGGCCAGTAGGGCAGGAGGTCAAGGAATCTGTCATATCATCAGATTTTACCAAAACCACTATTAGACTTTGGATTTGCATGGCACTTGAACCGATTTTTTCACAGCTTTCCTGCAGGTAGGCATGATAGGTCAGCTACTGTCATTTTCATTTTAACATATGACAAGAGTGATGCTTAGAGGAATGAAGTTATTTCTTAAAAGTCTCAGAAGTAGACTGGGACCTCGGTCTCCAGCCTCCTAGACTAGCACAGGGATCTCAGCAGTCTGAGTAATTTTCATTTTATATTTGATGGTCAAAAAGATAGCTAGAAAATCTGTAAAATTTGTTTAGGAAAAGAGAATCCAATTGTTGAAAGACACTTCTGAGAAAAAGTAACATTAACCTTTGTTTGTCTATTCCCAACTCTGTTTGCAATACCTTAATGAAGAACTTGAAAGCACGGGATTGGAATGTACTTGTTAGCATTTGGTACTCCTACAGAAATTTTAAATGTCAGACATTTTTAAAATGACCATGCTGTTGCTGTGGTCTTCCCACCTGCCATGGAGATCTAAGCTGGGCTGTGTCTGTAGGAAAGAGAGTTGTTGCCGTTCCGCTTTGCCTATAACCCCAGAGAGGCTGCCTTCCACCAGGCCTGCTGCTCTCCTCACATCTCAGACCTGTGTGCTGCCAAAGGACACTCAGAGCTTGCTTCTTTGGAGGATGGTGTTTAGTTGCCCTCATTCCAGGAGAAATTCTCTCATGTGATTTTATTTCATTTATTCCACAATATATATCCCAAGCCCGCTTGGTAATCTGTTGGAAATGAACCAAAACAGGATATGGACCCCAGGGCAGGAGGGATTTAAGAAGCACTTGGGTCCATGTATTCTTCCCCTTGCTGCTCCAGCCCTGTGGGTTGAGGCTGGGCGTGCAGACATTGGCGTTTATCCCTCTCAGTCCTGGCTTTATTGCTTATCTCCTGGTGTCTCCCTCTCTGCAGAGCACCTCCATTTTATGGATCCTGGGGTTGGAAAAAAACCCACTTTACTCTTAGTCTGTGTTTATCCCAGTTGGTCTGTGTTTATCCCAAAGAAGAAGCTATCTAAACACTATTAGATGCAGCAGGTTGCCATGACATCTTCAGCCAAACATTTTACAGACATTTTTGTTGTCTTATTTTCTACATGTAGACACACCTACATTACAGTAGCAGTGTGGCAGGTGACTTGTTGCTTTTCTCCCATTTTAATTTGTTTTAGCTGCTTTTTCATCACTTTATTATCACCCTCTCACTCTGAGGATGAGGTGGCAAAAAGTATTTTTAGACTAAGAATATGAAAAAATAATGTATTAATTCGTCCTCACAGGAAACAAGTAATAACACTGTGTTTCAGGTATGAACTGTGTTATTTATTTTTACTTATTTATCTTTTACACAGTGCTGCATATATTCCTTATTTATACTAAATCCCACTGACTCCTCCTGTATTGGCATATTTTACACTAAAATAGTCAGAATTAAAGAACTTGAGTGCTGGGGTCACACAGTTCATAATAGTAGAGTCAGATTTTAACCTTAAGTCTATTTGACCCCAGAACCTGCTAAAAACTGCTCCAAAGTCATCTGTCTCTAACCCTCACAGCCCTGGAACTGAGCTAAAATGGAGATCGTCTGAGTATAATTAACTAGACCCAGAGTCTGAACATAAAACCAATTAAATCCCATTTTAATCCAAAAGTATCAGGACAGTAGTATCAGCCATTTGAGGCCCGAGGAGCTTCAAGTCATTTACCGTGCCTTCAAATGAAGCATCAGGCTTCAGAAGACAAAATCCCACTCCCAGGGTACGGAGGGGCACCAGGGAGAAGCTGTCTCCCAAACAGGCACATAATCCAGGCCTTACACCTAGTATGTACAAAATGCATGCTTGCTGAATGACATGAGAAAGGGCAGAACCCCAGCGTTGGATTGTACCAAGAAAAACGTCAAAAGTACACTGTGAAAGATCACAGGTAAAATGACTGGGGTTTAATAAAGTTAAGCAAGTAGCTTGACTCTTTTTGACCCTCAGTGTTCCTTATGAAACAGTGATGGTGATTCCTCACATGGCAGTTGTGGGGACAAAGTAACTAACATACACTAACATGCTGTTTAAGCTCTAAGATACAAGACGGCAGGATGCTCCTATCCTGTTCTCAGCAGAGAGATTCTTAAGGTGATGCCATCCAGAGAGGCAGTGTTGATGCATCTTGTGTTTTCCACGTTAAGATGCTTGTTGTAAGCCGGCATCTTGTTGCCAAGGGGGCTGGAGAGCACTTAGTTTTCCTAAACCAGCTACTTACGAGGAAAAGCAACTCACAATTGTTCTTTCTCTTCACCCATAGCACCAGAAAGATAGAAACTTGCCCCTTGGGTTTATCTGGTCCTACAGGGAGGGAGAAGGATGAGAATAGGATATTTCGTTGGGGAGGGTCCTAACAACCATCAGAGGTATTTTGGTTTCTTCTTCCTTCAGTGATGGAGCCTTTGGACTGGTGCAGTATTATGGGTCTTCTGATGGATGGATGTACCATTGTAGGGAAGCCTAGAGAAACAGGACCTAATCCAGAGGGTGGAATCAAGGGAGGCTCCCTGGAGGAAATAAAACCCAAGCTCAGTGTTAAAGAATGTGTCAGAGTGAGTCAGGACAAGAGAAAGGGGTCATTTAAGACCAAGGGAAAAGCACTAGGAAACCCCAGAGAGATAGATAAAAAAGCACAGAGAAGCATGCAGATAGATAGTGCAGAAAAGATACTTCAAAGTCCACATAAATGGTAGATGACGAGGCCCTCAGGATCCACAGGGGCCAGAACGTCATGGAGATCACACAAGATTTTGTGTAAAATGCTGAAGTTCAGATTTTATCCTGTGGCAGTGGAGAACTCTGCTATTAGTTTTGTGTTTGTTTTAAAGAACTACAAGTTTATAAATGTGTAATAGAATTTCCATTAGTATCACTTAACATCTGATTTGGAAACAAAATGAGCTTTAAATAATGATAGTATTGAAGGAATCTATTAATGTGTTCAGCATTAAGTTCAAAAATGCAATTTTCTCTGCTGGGGGTGGTGGCACATACCTGTAATCCAAGTAGTCAGGAGGCTAAGGCAGGAGGATCAAGAGTTCAAAGCCAGCCTTAGCATTTAGTGAGACCCTATCTCTAAATAAAATACAAAAAGGGCTGGGGATTTGACTTAGTAGTTAAGTGCCCCTGGGTTCAATCCTGGTATTAAAAAAAAAAAAGCAATTTTCTTCCTAACATATAACAAGCTTTTCCTAATAGTGGCTTAAAAATTGATGCTTGGTCAGTATTCTGAGGCAAAGTATAGGCTTCTACCTTTTGTAAAATAATAATTCATTATCTAATATTTAAAGTTATCAAAAACCTAAGATATTTCTAAGCATGAAACTCAGTAAAAACTATAGCTTCACTCTTGACATTTTCACTGGATATGGAATTCTGAGTTGAAATTTTAGTTTCAACACTTTAAAAAGGTTGTTCCATACTGTTCATATTCTTCTTGCTTTCCATTGAGAAATGTACAGTTATTTAAATATTTGCTTCTATATGCAATGGGTGTTTTCTTTGGCTTTTGGTAGTTTGATTATGATCTGTATGGACCTGATTTTCTTGAGTTGATCCTGTTTGGAATGTGCTGAACTTCTTGATTCTGTAAATTTTTATCTTCCACCAAATTTGGGAGGTTTTCAGCCTCTATGTCTTTATATATTTTTACACCTTAACCTCTCTTCTCCTCTCCCAGTCCAGTGAAACAATATTAGACCTTTTTATATTGACCAACAAGTCCCAGAAGCTCTGCTCATTTTTCTTTTTTTATGTCCTTTAGATTGGATCATTTCTGTTGGCCAGGGTCATGATACAGAAATGATGATAATCTCAGGACAGTGCAGTAATAGCAGTGAGAGACAGAGGAATTGATCAAAAATAGAGAAAAAGAAGTAAAAACAGGCAGAACCTGGTGACAGATTAGATGTGGGGGATGAAGAGAGGAAAGAGTCAAGGATGATTCCCCAGCTCCAGGCCTAGGTGGAGGTCATAACTGGAACAGAGAAAGCAAGGAGACCACTTTGGGGAGGGAGATGAGTTTAGTTGAAGAGATTTAATATTGTTTCTAGTATGTTATCCATTCTAGTCTGTTATCAGAAAGAATTCTGATAACTGGAACCAAGAGCCTATGGATAAGATGACATTCTGGTCACAAGCCTTCCCAAGAAAAATGTGGTAAAGAACGTTTTTGGGCAGAGAATGTGCTAGGGGATATTGGAAATGGCAGTCAAGTCCCCATGATCTTTGCACTCTGATCAGGTCACTCTGCATGGGAAGCAGGTTTGATCCCGTTGCTGTCCCAGGGACAGACACTGCCCTGACTCTCTCTGATGGAATTCCGCCAAGGGCGGCAATAACGTGCTGCAGCCTGGATCTTCCCACTTAAATCCAACACCACAGCCAACGAGGTAGAAATGGCTTTACCTAGCCCTCGTCATCACCTCAGTTCCACTCTGGTTCCATACCCCAGCCACTTGCCCAATCTTCCTATGTTATTCTCATTTGAGTGAAGAGTGTCCACAGAAGCCAAATGTGTTGGTAGTGACGTTGCTGGCATACCATGGGCACGAGTCCCCAAGCAGAGAGAGAAGCTGGGTCTTCCCCTCAAGATGGCTACCCAAGCAAGTGCTGTGTGTCCTTCAGATGGTGCCTGATTTTATGAAGGCACACACACACCCCAACCTTGAATATGAATGATACTTTTCTAAAGTGCCTTATTTTGTTTGACCCTAGTGTTCCTATGAACTGTTTTTAATGTAATGATTAAAAGTATGAATCCTGGAGCCAGACAACCTGTTACAGGTTAAGTCTGTTCTAACTGTAGGGACTTGGACAAGTTCAGTAACCTCTACCTGCCTCATTTTGCTCATCAGAAAAATGGGGATGATAATAGTACCTGTCTCATCAGGTTATTGTAAGTAGTAACTGAAGAGAAAAACAATTGAACAGTGTCTGGCATGGAGAAAAAGCTCAATACAACATTATTATTAGTCTTAGGTGTTATCCCCTTGCTGTGGGTCACTGAGACACAGAAGTCAAGTACCTTGCCTCATGGTGAGCTTTATGTCTGAGCCTGTCTCTGACTCATAGTCTGTGCTCGTCCTGAAGCTGTGAGGAAGGAGGGGAGGGCCCAGCAGGATATTTCTGCTTGCAGATGGGGAGGTAGGAGGGAGGGTCTGTTAAACTATATTTAGAGAAAGAACCCTTATAAATAGCATCTCATGCAGGCTGAGTTAACAGTTTATGCCAGAGGAGAAGCTAAATGGACAAATGTCAATGATTTTACAAATTAAGTAGCTCCTGAGAGACTAGGGTGTTATTGACACACGCGCACACACACACACACACACACACACACACACCTGTTTTCCTGTCCCTCACAGTGATTTCTGCTTAGTGTTTTGTTTTTAAGAGATCTGTCTAGCAAAGAAATGACTGTAGTACAATCAACTTTCCCTTTTTGTCCTCTTTGTTGCATATTTCTAACCCAAATTTGCACATTTAAGAGCTTGGTGGGAAAAAAATTCTTTTTCAAATACCATCCAAATATGCAATAGTCCCAGAAATGACAGAGATGCCCTCATAGTTACCCTGTTTTAGTGTCCATGGCTGAGCTGTGAGATACTGCACGGCAGCCCAGCAAATCATTCTCAACAGAATGCAGACTGGTTTTTCCCATCAGAAGCCTCCCCATACCACTCCTGGACATGTTTTTTCCTTCTGTTCTTTAGACCGTGGAGCCTGGAATATACAGCAGGTTCCTGTGACACATTTTAGGATTCTACTCAGCACTGATGTCTTTGAAAACCAAAACCAGTTCTGGAAGGGAAAGACCTAGTAGATTAGACTAGCCTGACCTCCAGTTGCTGTCCACGGTGGCAGGTCCTTTTGACCATCCTAGAGCATTGAATATGCCGATCTCTTGGGAGCCTGAGAGAGTTGAGCCAAGGTCAGCAGATCTCAGGAGAGTGAGTTCTCCCCTCTTTTCACCACTCATCCCAATGACTTTGTGTTTTTACAGTGCTGGGGATTGAACCCAGGGTCTTCTGCATTCTAGGCAAACGCTCTACTAATGAGCTACATCCTTGGCCCTGACCCTCTTACATGTGAGGCCAAACTACTTGTCCTCGTGGTTCTGTTCATGTGCAAATTGTTAATCATCACATTTGTCCCTTAAACTACCAGCCTCTGTGAGCCAAAATGAGAATTTTTTAAATGACATCAATTAAACTATTAAAAGTGCTTTGACCTCCTTCCAAGAATGACATGCAATGTTCATTTCAAAAAGAAGTCATAAATGTTTAGAGGAATAATGGAGATCATGAGACTGTTGCCTTTTCTTTCTACAATTCAGGGGTTTTTTAAAAAAGCATTTTCTAGAAATTTTATTTCTCAAGATGTGGGGTTGAAACATGCTGAAGATTTGAATGAGCAAAAGGCCTTTTCTGAGCGGAGTAATGTTTTGCTCAGTGAACTACCTCTTTGAGTTTGGTAGCCCAATTTTCTAGGAGAAGGTATCACCTGGTAATGTTAGCGTGACAAGCCCGGGAGCCGGACCCTACAAGATTAAAAACTCTAGGGCTGCCCTCATGTGGCCTCTTATGGCAGCCACTCTCATTGCCTGTCTGAAAAACAGGAACAGCGACATTTGACTTGCTTTGTTCTTGTCCAGTGAGAACGTTGAGCAAGGTTGGTTTTCCCCACTGCTTTCCTTCCCAATCCTTGCTCTTCTCTCAATATGAACTTATCACAACAAAGGGTCGTCATACCTTGCCAGGCATTTTAATGGTGGTACCTGCCATGCTGTCTTGCAGGCAGGTACCATAGCTGCCAGCCAGCAGTGCTTTTGGGGAAAACAATGGCATTTTCCAGGAGACAATAAGGAAAATTAAACAATTAACATTAGACATCATTCTCTTCCGACTGCATTTTTCTGGGCTCAGTCTTCAGAGGAGGAGTAAAATGCTTATACACTGGACATTTTTTTCCTACTAAAATTGTCTTTGGCTTTCCCTGGTTTGTTAAGACAAAGACTATAACCCACAAGATGGTGTAGCAGGGGTGAATTTTATAGGCCTTTGGAATTAGGCAAGTTAAGAGGGCCTTGGGATGTCACCATTCAAACCAGAAGTTGGACATTTCAGAGATATTGTGAACCTAACATTGAGGAACCTCTGGAGGTTCAGGTTTAAGATGGGCAGATTGTGGAGAAACAAATATTTCCCTGTAGCACTGTCACTGTATTCCTGATGGCCCTCTGTGGTGAAGCAATAGTAGAAAAAAAAAAAAAAGTTGTCCAAACCCTTCAATTCTGCTAGACAGAAATACTGATATCTTTTTCTTTGTTGTTACCCCAATCCTTTAAAATGAAGATATATTCCAACTCAAAGGTTGTACCTTGATTTTTAACCAGGCTTTTAATTGGAGCCACGTAATTTGGCCTTTAAGTGTTGTGTTTTAAGCTAGAAATCTTTTAGTGATCAATAAATTTAGAAGAAAGGACTGTATTCTTTTTCCATGTGGTCGCCTTAGGCTAAGAGAAAGATGAAAGGCTAATGACAAAAACCATAGAGTTTAATTTCTGTTGCAGCAAAGTAGTAGACATTTAATGTAAATGAACTCAGAGTTGAAACCGCTAAGGCGTTGACTTCATTCCTTCAGTTACATATATACTATTTGTGCAGCCCTGTTTCGTAAGTATTGAAATTTAGAATTAGGTTGTCAATGCTCTGATGAGGAGAGACAGTGAGGTGATGTAAAAAGAACAAATGGCTGACGCTGGAAAAGGTCCCCATGCAGTATTTCTGATGATTGCACGAGGGTGGGCCCCCAAGTCAGGCTGGCCGGCACTCAGGGTGGCCCTGCCCGCTGGTGCATGTGTCTTAGAACATTGCTTCACCTCAGTCTCGTATCCCCACTTGTTGTGTGTGGATAAGAGTCCTACAGTGGGGAGAGACTAGGTGAGATAATCAGCTTAGTTTTTCTTGGTGCATGGGCTTATAGTAATTGCTCTGCACATGGTGACTGTGACTAACAGTCCACTCCTCTCTCAACCCGGAACAAGTTTCTTCAGTCCTCTGACCCTTGACTTCTTTATTTGTAAATCAAGAAGAATGTCTGCCCTACCTGCCCGCCTATCCACAGTATTGTTGAATCAGTTGAAAACCTGTCTTGAAAGGACTTTTAAATATTAGTTAACAAACCAGTTGGTAAAGCAGAGTGGTACACCACATGACACACGGGAAAAACATGATCAGGCCATGTGTAGGCAGGTGCTGGCCTTTGGGACTGAATAGGTTCAGGGAAAACCGTTGTAGACATTCAAGGGAACGAAAGAATATTATGGCCTGCTGTCCAGGAGTGGGCCTTATAGAGCAGGGGTGCATTCTGCTGAGCCTTGGAGAAAAGAGAAGCTGTGGCTGGAAGATGTGAATCCTCCTCCTCACTTTGACTGCTGCTGGTGATGTTCGCTGTCTCTTTGTCATTACAGGCTGAGCTTATTGAAAGCCTCACCCACAAGCTGGAGACGCTCCAGGAAGCCAAGGGGAGTCTGCTCATGGACATCAAGCTTAATAATGCCTTGGGAGAAGAGGTGGAGGCTGTGATCAGTGAGCTCTGCAAGCCCAATGAGTTTGACAAGTACAAGATGTTCATAGGGGACCTGGACAAGGTGGTGAACCTGCTGCTCTCCCTCTCGGGGCGCCTGGCCCGTGTAGAGAATGTCCTTAGCGGCCTTGGTGAAGACGCTAGTAATGAAGAAAGGGTATGTGGCCTAGCAACTCAGTTCAGCAAGTTTTCCCTGTGAGCACACAAACGTAAGAGCGGTGCTATTAGACAGGATCCCTTCTCTCAAGAAGATAAAATAGAGCCAGGTGCACCAGCACACACCTGTAATCCCAGTGGCTCTGGAGGCTGAGGCAGGAGGATTGCAGGTTCAAAGCCAGCCTCCGAACTTAGCAAAACCCTGTCTCAAAAAAATAAAAAGATCTGAGGATGTGGCTCAGTAGTTAAGCACCCCTGGGTTCATAGTTAAGCACCTCTAGGTTCAATCCCTGGTTACCCCCGCCCCCCCGCCCAGAAAAAGATGATGATAAAATCGCTTTGGAGCTAGGAGGGAATAGATGACCAAGGTAGAAGATAGCATCTTCCATGCCAAGATGTGATAAGGCTGACACTTAAGGTCAGAGACTGCTGAGATTCCCTCCCCCACCTCCTCCTCCCTTTCTTTCTAGAATAAGATAAAAGCAAGATGATAGATATTGACATTTAATAAATAGAGACAACAAAACTGTTAGGCATTTTGAGGGTGCACTGGGGTGTCTCCACCATACCCAGGTCTGGAAGGAAGAGGACAGGTAACAGCAGTATCGATCTCATTGGATAAATGCACCAGATGTTCTGTGTCACGCACTCTGAGCTTACGTGCTTTCTGTGTGGTCTCCCTGGATCCTTCCCATACTACATCAGCATCGGTTTTTATTAAGAAACCAAGTTTGACGCCTTGGGGTTGTTTTCTGGGTGGAGAAAAGATATTTATAAGATAAAACTTTTAACTTTGTACTTTTCCCCGCCAGGCATTATTATGTAAGATCTGACAGGCTGTTTAGGAGGATTTAGGGCAAATACACATGAGCCTCTGATAATCCTAAATAAGCTAATTGGTACTGAAGGATATTTAACTGATCTTATTTCTTGACTAATTTACATTTTAATTTTTCTCAATCATTTTGGTCTGAACAGCCTGAAAGAATAAATTCTAATTTTTTAAAATTTAAAAACAACATTCATGTCAGTTTGTTAGATTTTTAAAAAGAAAAGAAAAGCACATTAAAGATTTTTATAGGCTGGGTGTGGTGGTGCATGCCTGTAATCCCAGTGGCTCAGGAGGCTGAAGCAGGAGGATCACAAGTTCAAAGCCAGCCTCAGCAATTTAGCAAGACCATAAGCAACTTAGGAAGACCCTGTCTTTAAAATATTTTAAAAGGACTGGGGATGTGGCTCAGTGGTTAAGTACCTCTGGGTTAAAGCCTTGATACCTTGATACAAAAAAAAAAAAAGATTTTTACAAAGCATATTTAGCTCTGATGAGGTATGCTACTGCTAGTTGTGGTGGCACACACCTATAATTCCAGCTGCTCGGGAGGATTACAAGTTTGAGGCCAACCTCAACAATTTAGCAAAGTCCTGTCTCAAAATAAAAAGGGCTGGGGATGTAACTCAGTGGTGGAGCACCTCTGGATTCAATCCTCAGTACCAAAAGAAAGACAATAAAGTGTGTTACCCTACCTTTGCGCTTGTGCAAGAAAGTCTTAGAATATGAAATCAATATCCTTGATGGATTTCTCTCATTTTCTTTCTAGAGGCCTGAAAAAGAAACCTGAAAAAAAAAATCAAAACTGATTTCTTTAGAGATGGGAAATATAATAGCCCAGTTGTCATTGTGGATGAGGGAGAGGTTCTCAAACTTTAAAAAATTTTCAAAATACCACTATGAAATCCTGTTAAAACAAAACTTCTGGGCTATGCCAGGTGCGATGGCACACACCTGTAATTCCAGCAGCGCAGCTCTGGAGGCTGAGACAGGAGGATTGTGAGTTCAAAGCCAGCCTCAGCAAAGGCAAGGCACTAAGCATCTCAGTGAGACTGAGTTTTGTATCTCCAAATAAGATACAAAAAAATAGGGCTGGGGATGTGGCTCAGAGTACCCCTGAGTTTAATCCTTGGTACCAAAAAAAAAAAATCTTCTGGGCCACCCCCACAGTTTTTGATTCAGCAGGTGAAATTGAGGCTGCAAATTTGCATTTCTAACAAGTTTCCAGGTGCTGCTGCTGCTGCTGACCTAGCAGCCACACTTGAGAAACACTCTGGCACTCAAGGTACCTTGCTGATTGCCCTTTAAAGCCCATGGCCAGAAAGTCAGGTCATTACCCCAGCCATCTAATGTACCCCTCTCAACCTGAAGCTACCAAACCACTGTACAAGGGAGAGAGCTATGTAATGTACAGCCTAGGGGTGAGAAGTTGATTTTCAAAACATTATTTTCCTAACAACAATTGAAATAAAAACGAACAACTGAAGTAGAAACTTAATTTTGCCGTCCTGTGAAGGTTGCCTTTCAGGGAGCTTGGCTCTTTTCTTCCTTCCCTGTGCCCTTTGCTGATCTGTCCGTTTTGCCCTGGCAGAGCTCTCTGAACGAGAAAAGGAAGATGCTGGCTGGGCAGCATGAGGATGCCCGGGAGCTCAAGGAGAACCTGGATCGCAGGGAGCGAGTGGTGCTGGACATCCTGGCCAATTACCTCTCGGAGGAGCAACTCCAGGATTACCAGCACTTCGTGAAAATGAAGTCGACACTCCTCATCGAGCAGCGCAAGCTGGACGACAAGATAAAACTGGGCCAAGAGCAGGTTAAGTGTCTGCTGGAGAGTCTGCCCTCGGACTTCACTCCCAAGACCGGGGCCCTGGCTCTGCCTCCAGACCTCACCAGCGAAACGACTCCTGTTGGGGGATGTACTTTCAGTGGCATTTTTCCAACATTAACCTCTCCACTTTAACCTCTCCTAAAATACCCCACCAAAAGATCCCGGCTTCTCTCAACACTATTTAATCTGAAAAAAAAAAAAAATGTTTCAGTACAAACCACTGTATAAACTACATGGGTTATTGGGGCTTTCCTGGATAAGAGGAAGAAAGTTCTATTCAGGAAGAAGCCTGGTTTTTCCTTCTTGCCCTTCATGATTCATCTTTTGAGAGCTTGAATGCTGCTGGAAACTTTTCCCCTTTCAATTGTTACTTTGTAGTAGAAAGAAAGTTAATGAAACTGTGAGGACTGGTTGGAGGGTGTTGATTGCTCGTTTAGGTTTTAACCTGCTGAGGTGACATAGATCAGTGTGTCACCCTCAGGAATGTATCCACAGTGGCCTTTCGTGCTGGTGGGCAGGGTACCCTGACGGCAGGGTGCAAGTACCATTGATGAAGGGTCTGCGACAGCCTTAAAAAGACACACGTTGAGAAGAAACTTGCAAAACCTTGAACATTGTTATTTATATTTTTAAAAATGAAAAAGATCATTATGTTTGTGTGCTAACCACTTATTTGATTCTATTTTGTGGTGGATGTAGACGTTCACGTCTGAGCTTTGTATTTTGTGAAATAATGAAGAATTCCAAAGATAGTCATATTGAGCGTGGAAACAGTTTTTTTCTTACACTTTGGTCCTGTCTGATTTTTAAAAATACAAGTAGACAGTCTACACTGGCCTTAGGCTGAGGACTGGGGAATCCCAGTTTCCATTGCTGCCAGGTGTCTATATTTCCTCTGTCTTAAACAAGACACAGGAGCGTGCACACACACACACACACACACACACACACACACACCTTCCCCAGCAGGAAGGCTCCATGCAAAGTGGTTGTCACAGCACTTCCAGCATTTCCTGTCATTATCACTATGGGGGAGACAAAGCTAAGTGTTATTAATAAGGACAATACTCAAACAATAGGAACCAGAGGAAGAATTCCAAACTCCAAGCCAATGCAAAACTGAATTCATGCTGTCCTCTTATACACTTTTTTTTTGAGTTGGGGGTCTTGCTAAATTTCCCAAGTGGGCAGTCAACCTTCAATCATCCTGCCTCAGCCTCCTGAGTAGCTGGGATTATAAATGCATTGATGCTTTCCTTTTAAAGTTAGTTTTTTCTAAAATGTCCAACCTAGTCATTATACTTTTTATTAAAAAACTTCCTCCTTAACCTCTGAAGATTGATTCTGCACTATCATGTTTCAATAATGACACCTCAGAGGGGTTCTGTAGCCTCTGTTGGGTTTTGTTGTTTTTCTGGTTGTTCAAGTTGTAAGCTGTCCAACTGGAAGGATGAGAAGGAGGTGAGGGGCCAGGAGCAAGGATCCTCAGAGCCACTGGGATGGCAAGAGCCTCATATACTTTGAGCAGGTGGTACATCTGAGCGGTGCTGTTGGTTGGTTGGTTTTTCTCACATGTGTTCAGTCTGTGAGAAAAATTCTGAAATAAAAACTGTGCATCCAACTGGTGGCCACCTCTGTTCACTTGGACTTGCAAGTACCATACAAGCCAGTTACAAAATCCAGAGAGTAAAATTTGTAGGTTAAAAAAATGATGAGGCTGGGTGTGGTGCCACATGCCTATAATCCCAGCATCTCAGGAAGCAGAGACAGGAGGATCATGAGTTCAAAGCCAGCCTTAGTAATTTAGCAAGGCACTAAGCAACTCAGTGAGACCCTGTCTCTAAGTAAAATACAATATAGGGCTGGGTATGTAGCTCAATGACTGAGTGCCCTTGAGTTCATTTCCCAGTACCAAACAAAAAACAAACAAACAAACAACAACAACAACAAAAAACAGAAATGATGAGGATACCAAATGCTCCTTTTTGTCTTACTATATTTTAATTATTTCATGACATTTTGTCTTCTGGTTAAGAATATCAATACTGTAGTTCTGGGGGCAGGGGTTGTGGCTCAGTGATACAGCACTTGCCCAGCATGTGTGAAGCACTGGGTTCCCATTCTCAGCATAGCATATAAATAAATAAACAAACAAGGTTCATTGTCAAGGTTCATTAAAACTATATTGATGGTCTTTACTAACTTAGAAGCAATAGGCCACCCAGAAGTTTCTTACAAGCAATCAGCCAAAGCTATTGCTTTATACTTTGGAGTTTATATAATGTGTCACTCCTTTGACAGCGTCTTGTTACCCAGAAATGTTTTCAAAAGCTTCTCTCATATCAGAGAGAACATTCAACAGCCATACTAACAATCATTCTGAAATAAAAACTGTGCATCCAACTGACATCCATCAGACTTAGGCCAACCCAGGATCCTGAAATCAACTCCAGTTTGTAACTGTGTGTGTCTGGATCCTTGCAGTTAGACCAGATTGAAGCCAATCAGTGAATGTCTACTGATGTTCTGTTCTTAAATTCCTCAGAATAATTCTAGGGCTCCCAGCTCCCAGCAGCTTTAAGATTATTCTTCAGGATGTGACTGGGGAACATTTTTGCATGGTCAGTCTTTCTCCATGACTTTTCTAATCCTTTCATGCAAAAGTAACCCCCTCTGCAGAGTGACAGGTATGCTGCTTGGCATGCCACAAGCTTATGACCCTTCCAAAATTATATCCTTTCTTTTGTTACACTGCAATGGTGTTCCCTTGTTATATGAAGTGTGTGAGGTAGTAAGTGGGACTTCAAAATCTAATTCTTAGGTGGGTGTGGTATTTATTAGAATGGGACTTGACCTCGGTACTTTGATGAAATCACTCATCCAACTTTCAGAGTTTACTTTTAAATACTTTGAGCTAGAAAAGAAGCCTATGCCTTTATCCTTTTTCTATTTTGCATTCTTCTCAAACTATTAAATAATCATTTATAGTAGAAGCCACCCATGTTCCTCCTAACAATATCCAACATGTTGTCAGGGTTTCAGAACATAGGTGACAGCACTGTGAATGTTCATAGTCATGAATTTTAGAGAGACACTTCCCATTACAAACCAGGTGGGTTAGTCTTGCAATACTCCAAATAAGGATGATCCACAAACCTGTGAAGCTCCAGGAAAGTACAGTGTCCTGCAACAAAAACCGATGGCCTCTACCTTCTGGGCCACTTGAGAGGTTCCTGGGCCTGTTGCTACATGTCCTCCTTTGACTCAGCCTTTTCTCATGCTGTTTTCTTGTGGTGGCTGCTAACCCCAAAGAATGCAGGAAGGAGCCATAGTGAGAGTATCCGAGTTTCTCTAAGAGAGACTGCTGAAACCAAACGTATTTTCCTTTGCTCCAGGGGAACATTTTAGGTCTTGTTTTGCACAGCTGGTTTCCAGACTGGCAAGTTTCAGTCAGCCCTTAAGAATCAGCGACTGCCTTGAGCTGAGGAGTGAAGGCCTGAGGTCCTTAGAGGGACTCACAGGAGAAACAGCCTGGATTCTCCCACTTTCCTACTACTACATTGTTAATACTGATCTAAAATAATTAGAAGTTTTAAAAGTAAATACAGACCTTGAGCTTTACCTTTAGACATATATCTTATTCAAGCATCTTTTATGACAACACTGGGCTTTTTTCTGGATACCCAAGAACATGTTGACATTTTGTTCTTATATGGTTCCAAACTTATTCTCTTTAGTTTTATTATCCATGATATTGCAGGCTTTATTGTGTTAGTTTGGAAATTTTTTTTCTTTTTAGAACAAAATGAGTTTTGTTCACCTTACTGTTAGAAAGAAAGGGGAAAACTTCAACCAGAAACGACAGTTCATCTCCAACAAGGTTTAACAACATGATCAGGAAAATGTGAAGTGGCCATTCTACGCAGATTATTTGGGACAAAGTATGTACTGTTGCCTTAACTCTGGGATGAAGCATGGGATAAAATGATGAAAGTCATTTTCATATCAGACAAGGACACATGAACAGTTTTCTAGTTTTAGACAAAATCTCACTTTTCTTATGAGAGCTCATTTGGACAGTTTAAATCCTGGTTTCTTGAAGTATGGTCAAGTCTGCTGCATCAGAATCCTTTGGAATGCTCGTTAAAAATACCACTTGCTGGGGCTGGGGTTGTGGCTTAGCAGTAGAGCGCTCGCCAAAGACCCTGGGTTGGATCCCCAGCACCACATAAAAATAAATAAGTGAAATAAGGATATTGTGCCCAACTACAACTAGAAAATAAATATTAAAAAAGAAATACCACTTGCTGTGACGCATCCAAGTAGGCCGGGGATCTGCATTCTAGTAAGTTCCCTGGTCTATTCTGCTACACAGTCACATTTAAGAGCCACTGGTAGGATCATTCACACAATCTCTATTGCTTATGATCATAAGACTAGCATAGATTCATGTAATAATCCCAGAAGAGTTTTAATTTTTTCCCCACAATATCTTTATTTTATTTTTATGTGGTGCTAAGGATCAAACCCAGTGCCTCACATGTGCTAGGCAAATGTTCTACCACTGAGCTACAAACCCAGCCCCAAGTTTTAATTTTTAATAAAAAATAAAAGCTAAAAATCTCAAATTCAAAGTCAGTGAAATTTACTTCATAATCCACAAAATTATAAGTTGATATTGTTCCTAGTATCTTTTTATAGCCCCAAGGTAATGATAGGGATTTCTCCCTTGCTCACTCTTCCCTAAATCTGTTTTAAATTTCAAGAAGCTAAGCACTTGGGCTCAATTGCACTAATTATTTTTCCTTAGAAAGAATCAGCTTATCATACACTGTCAGTAATTTGAAGTTCTGCCCTAACTGCAATAATCACCACTGTCCTTTTCAGTGGGGACTTAAAATTTCTGTTACTTCATCACAAATCCCATGCCACATATGAGATAGAATCTCTCTTGTCTTTGATTGGACAATCTAGCTCATAAAAAAGAGTGTGTTATTTTCCTTTGAGAAGTGAAAGGAGCTCACCACTCAGTTTCAAAACCCTAAAATCAAAATTAGCAAAGAAAAAAGTTGCAAAGGAAGAAACAGGCTCACTTCTACTTCATGTTATAAATTCTTGATGAGTGGAAAGGCAGCTGCATTTCTTACTAAAATATCAGTATTAGTATTGATTTACATAGTGGGCCTAACAGGGGAAATGTACATCTTACAAGGAAATTCTATATGGCCACATTCTATATGACCACAGCCTATAAGGAAATGCTATATGGCACCCTACAGTGTCCAAGGAAAGAGACTTGGAAAGGGACCCCTCCCTAAACGGGCTCAGACCTCCTTGGGAAACTGAACTTGGCACACATAGAAGGGAGGGTGGCTAGTTTGCCCAGGCTAGACATGGTATGCAGTCCCTGGGCAAGCCACCCTCTAAAGTACAGGCAGGTACAATCTATCCACAACCAACAGCCTGGCAATGCACAGGGAGCTGGGACCTTCAGAAAGGGTGGGAACCCTTTGGGATGCAAATGATCTAAGGAGTCAAAGAGCCAGTGATGGCATTAAGCCTTTGGGGCACTGAAACAAGCTAGAAATCTTTCAGGGCTGGGGAGAAAGTTATTACCAGGCTGAGTTATCACACATTCTGGGCACATGATTGGGGCAGAATTCCACCAGATGGCCTCATACCCTCACCACTGACCCACCAGGTATTAACCACAAACATCAAGGACATGATCTGCAGCTCACAATGGCTTAACGTAGGGTCTTTTGACTTTCCTACAGTACAAAGCATATCTATACAACCATTATTTTTCACTTTCAAAATTGTATTCAATAAATTACATGACATAGTCAACACTGTATTATAAAACAGGAGTTGTATTAGATGATTTTGCCTGACTGTAGGCTAATGTTCTGAGTGTGAAGGTAGGCTAGGCTGAGCTGTGATGTATTAAATGCATTTTCAACTTATGATAATATTTTCAACTTACAATGGGTTAAGTGGTACACAACCCCATTGTAAGTAAGAGCCATCTGTTGTTCTTTTCTTTCTTCCTGCCCCTCTAGCGCCCTCTACTGAAAAACCTACAGTGTGTTCACTGAAGGGTGAACTTGGAGCAGAGAGGCCATAGATTGATAACCAAACAGATATGGTCTAGATTATTACCCTTGCTTTATATTCTAGAATCATGAAGAACTTTCTAGTTGTTGATTCTGTAATAACCACTTCTAAGACAACAAATAACAATGGGTATCAAATGGACAACATATCTCTTCAAGGAGAGGTCAAAAGGAAAATGTTTAAGGCCGGGGTTATGGCTCAGTCGTAGAGTGCTTGCCTAGCATGTGTGAGGCACTGAGTTCAATCCTTATCACCACATAAAAATTGATAAATAAAATTTAAGAAGGTATCATGTTCATCTACAACCAAAATAATATTAAGAAAAACAAAAGGAAAGTATTTCTAATTTGTTTTCTTTAGATGTGATACAGGCATCTATATTACCCATAATACCCAAATCAATAGAGTCAGAATGTGGCCTATTTACCATCACATATTAGTTTTGTGTCTATCAATGTATCTCTTACTGCTAAGTTCTATCTTCATAACCCTCTCTGTACGTCTCTACATCTCTCTTGGTATGTCTCTGTGTGTTTTTGTCTATCTCAACTTCTACCTTTGTCATCTTCTTGTTCTTTTCCAATTATCTATGTGCAACTTACAAAGGAGAAAGTGAGAATGAGAAGAGGGGGGAAAAAAAACAGAGGGAAGACCTTAACCAAGTGAAGAAGATGCATTTTTTAATTGGAGAGAAAAATTAAGAATTTCACCCCCATTCAAGCTAAGAAAGGTACCTAAAAGAAGAGTTTTGCAATACCATTTAAATATGTGAGAGTGAAAAAGGACTATTTCCCTTTTCTAATTAAAATGGAATGTAAGAATTGTCTTTGTTTTGTAGAACAACTGAGTTATAATAAAATGAAATAACTCAACAAAGAGGGCTCATAGGCAATGGAATGACACTTTTAACTGTCTTCCATCCTGAAGATTAAAAGAGAGTGGAGGGGGCTGCCAGTCCTGGCTGGTGGGTCCAGGCTCCCGGGGTCCAGGCGGTGGAGAAGGATGCGGTGGCCTCAGCAGTGTGGCCTGGGCCGCGATGTCAGAGGCAAAGAGATGGCCTGACGCGCAGGCCCCTTGGAGAGTGGGAGAGCAACAGAGGAGCCAACTGTGACCTGGGGAGCAGGAGGCCGGTTTAAAAGAAAGACCAGTCAATGTGGAAACATTGTCTGAGGAGGAGGTCATCAAGTTTGCCAAGAAGCCATTTTGTGAAGCCCCTGTTGACTCAAGGCTTTTGATGATGAATTCATGTATCGAGACTGTAATTCTTCATGGACCTTTGCATTTGGGAGACAGTGCCCTCAAACATTTCTGTGCAGTTGGGAATGCAGGCTTCTGCTTCACTTTGAAGGAAGCATTAATGATTCATTTCCAGAAGACATGAGAAGAGAGAAGTGAGCCTCTGGTATTATGCAGGTTCCTTGCATTGCCCATGGGCTAGAAGAGAGAAGAGTTGCTTCATGAGATTTGATCCCCTTTTTCCTGAAAAGTTCCACACAGAGTAGGCAAGTCCTTGGATCCCCTGCAAGAAAGTCTTCCGACCTGAAGGTCAGACGTGTCCAGATGTTGACTTGAAGGATATCAGCTCCTAGAAGCCCTCATCTTGGCTGCAGTATTTCCTCCCATCAATGCAAAGCAAGAAATTGCAGTTGGCCCTGCACCCATTCTTCTGCATCCATGGTCCCCACCAGCTGGAAATCCAAAACCTATCAGGAAAGGAGTTGTGTCTCTCTGAACAGATACTTCTCTCCTCATTGTTTCCTGGATCTTACAGTATTATAGAGAATGACACTGCCCTTTCATTGTATTAGGTGTCAGAAGTCATCTAGAGATAATGGAAGTGCTAAAGGAAGAAGATATGAAGTGTTTAGATGCAAATACTCTGCCATTTTTGTAAGAGACTTGAGCATGTGTGGATTGGTGTTTTTGGCAGACTTTCAACAAATCTCCCTTGGATTTCCTGTGATGTTTCTGGTTTATGGGCTTGGGAGTGTTCAGGACTTGAGTGTGAGTCAGCCCCATGGGAATGTGGTAGGGGGGCAGTTGGAGCTGTTGTGCAGAACCTCAGTGATGCCTTGTAAGGGCACATCCAACACTGCAAGCAGGAGCCGAGAAGGGAGCCCTCTCCCCATGTGTTCATCTTAACTCTTGTTTTATCCAAAATAATGACTTGTGAAAGGTTGCAGAAATGGAGTCATGCCAAGAAGTTGGGATGTTCTGGGGAGCATGGGATGTCATTCTATTTTGTCTCTGCATTACCATGTGATACCAGGTGGGAACTTGAAGATTGCTCAGGCCATGGATTCTCCTTCCCTGGGAAGGGGCTTCTCAAAGCAGCCCTTGTTCCTGTTTCACCTGCTTCCCCAGGAGGACACAACAAGAACTTTCTCACAAGTTGGCCCCTGGTCTTGGTCTTCCAGCCTCCAAATTTGAGAAATAAAATCTGTGCTGTGAAAAAAAAAAAAAAAAAAGATTAAAAGAGAGAAAATATATATCCACCTACTTGAAACTATTTGTGAATAAATTTATTAAAAGGTAAAAGATAGTCTAATATCTCTGCCAGTGCAAATAGGTAGAACAAAAATGAAATTAAGCTTAAGATATAAAGAACAAACATTTTCCAACCTAACTCAAAAGGTCAAATACAGCTTGATAATGGATAGTTTTGATGTTATTGTTTAAAACTCTAAGGAAACTGCCCAAATTTAGGAATAATTGCTTTAACCTAGGTTTAAAACCCTGAATAGATACTATATTTTCTCACACAGAATACAAGTTCTTTTCTTCTTCCACTTTTTCTTTTTAAAAATCGATTTTCTGGCATTTTCTACAAATCTTACTGAAGTTTTCTTGCTTTTGAATAATAAATTATGAGGAGGAGCTATGCACAATGGTACACACCTGTAATCCCAGTGGCTCGGGAGGCTGAGACAGGAGGATTTTAAGTTCAAAGCCAGCCTCAGCAAAAGCAAGGTGCTAAGCAACTCAATGAGACCCTGTCTCTAAATAAAATACAAAATAGGGCTGGGGATGTGGCTCAGTGGTCAAGTGTCCCTGAGTTCAATCCTCAGTATCCCCTTCCCCATTTTTTTTTTTTTTTGGAGAAGGATGTAACTGAGGATTTAAAAGGAAATTATAAAGACTTTTTGCAAATGTAACAGAGAACCAAGCATAGTGATGCGCATAATCCCAGCTACTTAGGAGGCTGAGGCAGGAGGATCAAGGCCAGCCTGGATAACTTAGTGAGATTCTGTCTCAAAACATTTTTAAAAACAGTTGAGGATATAGCTCAGTGAATGAACACCCCTGGTTTAATCCAAAAAAAAGAGAAGGGAAGGGAGAAAAGAAAGAAAATATATTCAAAAAAATTAATGGCAAAAAGCTTCTTAAGCTTGTGGAAGGAAATAAAAACCCAGATCTAGGAAACTCAAAGGACCACAATAAAATGAATTCAAAGAGACCCACACTGGAGACACCTCATAATCCATGTCTAAAATAAAATTGTTTTAAAAGCAGTGAGAAAAAAGCAAATAGCTCCATAAAAGAGAACCCATGTAAGATTCACAGAGGATTTTCTGTGGAAACCTTGCAGGCCAAAAAGGAGAGGGGTGATATATCCAAAATCCTGAAAGAAAAAATTGCCAATAAGGAATACTATACCCAGCAACACTGTCTTTCAAAAAAAGAAGCTGTGGTAAAGACTTTCTCATATAAACAAAAGATGAGTTGATTTATCACCACTAGGACCTGCATTAAAGGAAATGATGGGGAGGGGGAAGGAGAAGAAGGAGGGAATGTGGTAGGGGGGCAGTTGGCATACAAAAAACGAGCACTCCAACACCGAGCCACAACCCAGCCCCAGCAAGTGGTATTTTTAACAAGCATTCCAAGGGATTCTGCTGCAGTAGTCTTGACCATACTTCAAGAAACCAGGATTTAAACTGTCCAAATGAGCTCTCATAAGAAAAATGAGATTTTGCTTAAAACTAGAAGACTGTTCATATGTCCTTATCTGATATGAAAATGACTTTCATCATTTTATTCCATGCTTCATCCCAGAGTTAAGGCAACAGTACATACTTTGTCCCAAATACTACATCTTTTCTTATGAAGATACTGGGCTTTTTTCTGGATACCCAAGAACATGTTGACATTTTGTTCTTATATGGTTCCAAACTTATTCTCTTTAGTTTTATTATCCATGATATTGCAGGCTTTATTTTGTTAGTTTGGAATTTTTTTCTCTTTTAGAACAAAATGAGTTTTATTCACCTTACTGTTAGAAAGAAAAGGGAAAACTTCAGCCAGAAACAACAACTCGTCTCCAGCAAGGTTTAACAACACGGTCAGGAGAATGTGAAGTGGCCACTCTGCACATACTGGGAGAAGAAGAATGGAAAAAACTATGTTATATGTATTTATGAATATGTCAAAATGAGCCCCACTATTATGTACAACTATAAATGCACTAAAGAAATAAGAAAAAAAGGGGGCCAAAAGGAGTTTCTTGAGCAGAAGAAGGAAGAAATTAATTCATAACATGAAATTATATGCAAGTATAAATCTCACTGAACAAAGTAAAACAATCTGAAATGATCTGACACTGTAACTGTATCTCTAGAACAAAGGCTAAAAGTTAAAACTATTAAAAACAATTAAATCAAGCCCAACACAGTAACACAACCTGTAATCCCAGCTACTCAAGAGGCTGGACCAGCCTCAGCAACTTAGTGAGAACTGTCTCAAATTTTAAAATAAAATAAAAAGGCCTTGGAGTATAACTCAGTGGTAGAGCACTTGCTTAGTGGAAGGCTTTATGTTCAATTCAAAGAAAGAAAGAAAAAGCAAGAAAGCAAAAAAGCAAGAAAAAAAGAAAGAGAGAGAGAGAGAGAGAGAGAGAGAGAGGAAGAGAGAGAAAGAAAAATACTAAAGCTACAATAATTTTTTAAGGATACAAATTATTTTAAAAACAAAATTTTGACTTTACAAACATAAAACATGGAAGAGGGAGAGTAAAAATGTGGAGGTTTTGTATGCAAAGCTGTTACTAGTTTGAAATAGCCATCTATAAGCATAGATGTTTTATATGAGCCTCAGGGTAACCACAAAGCAAAAGTCTTTAATAGATACACAAAGAATAAAAGAAAGAAAACATTCAAACATATCGCAAAAGAAAGCCATCAAGCCATAAAGAAAAGAACAAAGGACATAGAAAACAACCAGAAAATAATTAACAAAATGACATTAGTAAATACCCATCTATCAATAATTACTTTGTAAAAGGGTTAGATTCTCCAATTAGAAGGTATAGGGAGGGCTGGGGTTGTGGCTCAGTGGTAGCGCGCTTGCCTAGCATGTGTGAGGCCCTGGGTTTGATTCTCAGCACTGCATAAAAAAAATAAAGGTATTGTATCCATTTGCAGCTAAAAATATTTTTTTTAAAAAAAGGTATAGGAGTGACTGAATGGATTTAAAAAATAAGACTCAACTAGGTGATGCCTACAAAAGATGCTTCACCTTAAAGGATTCTCATAGACTAAAAGTGAAGAAATTGAGAAAGATATGCAAAGGGAACCAAAACAGAATAGGGGCCATACGTATTTCAGACAAAATACACATCAAGTCAAAAACTGTAAAAAAAAAAAAGACAAAGAAGAACATTATATAGTGATAAAGGGATCAATTCAGCAAGAGAATAGTACAAGTAAAAATACACATGCACCCAACATCATAGCACCTAAATACATAAAGCAAACATTATGAGAACTGAAGAGAGAAATAGACTATAACACAGTAATATGAGGAGGTTTCAAGAGCCGACTTCCAGTCAGATGTGGTTACACACAACTGTATTCCCAACTACTTGGGAGGCTAAGGCAGGAGGATTCCAACTTTGAGGCCAGCCTGGGTAACTTAGTGAGAACTGTCTCAAATTTAGAAAGGGCTTGGTGAGAAGGAAAAGTGGAAGGAGACAGGGAAGGGGAGGAAGGGAAAGAAGAGGAGGAAGAAGAACAGAAGGAAGAAGAGAAAGAGAAAAGAAAAGGAGGGGGAAAAGGAAGAGGAGGCAGAGGAATAAGGAAGAAAAAAGATCCCACTACCAACATTGGACAGATCATCCACAAAATAAGGATAAACAACAAAGAAACATGGAACCTGAACTACACCTTAGACCTAATAGACATATACAGAACATTGTACCCCACAGCAATAGATGACACGTTCCTCTCAAGTGCACACAGACTATTCCCCAGGATAGTCATATGTTAGGTCACAAAATAAGCCTGAATAGATTTCAGAAGAATGAAATAATATCTAGTATCACTTCTGACCACAAAGATATGAAATTAGAGATCAGTAACAGGAGGAATTATGGAAAATTAACATATATGTGTAAATTAAGCCATATTCTACTGAACAACCATTGAGCAAAAGAAGAAATTAAAGAGAAATTTTTTTAAAATATCCAGAGACAAAAATTAAATATAAACACAGCCTACTAAAGCTTATGAGTACTAGGTAACAAAAGCAGTTCTAAAAGAGAATTCGTAGCCATGAACCCCTACATAGACAAATAAGACCTCAAATAAACAAATGAACACTCACCTCAAAGAACTAGAAAAAGAACTAAGCCCAAAGTTACCAGAATGAAGAACAAAAACCAAGCAAATATAAATGAAATAGAAACTAGAAGAGAAATAGAAAAGATCAACAAATATATGAGTTGATTTTTTTTTTTTTGAAAAGCTTAACAAAGATGTTTTCTGAGGCAGAGAAACACAAAGGATCATAAGAGACTACTATGAACAAATAAATGACAATAAATTGAATGACCTGGAGCAAATGGATAAATTCCTAAGCCATAATCTACCAACACTGAATCACCAAGAAATTATAATTGGAACAGACCAGCAACAAGTAATGAGATTGAATTGGTAATTCAAAGTCTGCCATTGAAGAAAAGCACAGAACCCGGTAGCTGCACAGCTATATCTTATCAGTCACTTCAAGAACTAATACCAATCTTCCTCAAATTCCTCCAAAAACTCGAAGAGGAAGGAGTATTTCCAAATTCACTTTATAAGTCCCAGGCAAAGACACAAGAGCTGGGCGTGGTGGTACTTGCCTATAATCCCAATGGCTCAGGATGCTGAGGCAGGAGGATTGCGAATTCAAAGCTGGCCTCAACAGTGAGGTCCTAAGCAACTTAGCAACCCCTATCTCAAAATAAAATATAAAAATATAAAAAGGACTGGAGATGTGGCTTAATGGTTAAGCACCCCTAGGTTCAATCCATGGTAGAAAAACAAACAAAAAAAAATTTTTTTAAAAAAAACATAACAGAAGAAATAGCCTATAGGCCAATGTTCATGATGAAGACAAAAAAAATACTCAAAATACTAGCAAAACATATTCAATGGTACATTAAAAGGATCATTCACCATGATCAC